AAAGAAATTTAGGAAAAGGCACTTCTTTAGAAAAAGTGAGTACTTTGTATATTTATACTCAGATTGATCATTGGCTTGTCTTTCCCGTTAAAATGGTTATTTTATTAAAAAAATTTTTTTAATTATAAGAACAAAGAAAAACAATGAAGGTGATTTTTCGCCTAACGCACCCAAAAAAATCCCGCAAACGGAAAAACCACCTACACTAAATCCAAGCAATACCAAAAAATCAGGAGGGGGGCACAAGGCAATCAAAGTTGTACGTTTTCAATAAAAAAATTAAATTTAAAAAAAACTTAGGGAACAAAACCCAAAAAAACTTAAAAGATAAAAAAAAAAGGTTTCAAGGAAAATAAAAAGGGGGATGTCCGGGGGAGATATAAGTGCAGGGAGGGGGGGGGGAATAAAAAATTCCAAGGATGTGTAAATGTAGTAAGGTTTCACTAAATACTGTTAACATAGTATGAATAAATCATGGTGTTGTGTGTTGCATATGCAAATTAAGTATATTTACAAAGACTATTAAATCAGCTATCACAGAAAATTGCTACAATGTATTCAAAATAAAGAAACTCAATTTGTGATTTGTGTTTACTAATATTTAAAATCTTTATCTACATTTATTTTTTTAAACATTCAAATATAGATTAAGAATAGAAACTGGTAGATAAATAAAAAGAAAAAGAAAACTTTCTTCTTTTTTATTATTGATAAAATAAATATTCCTCGTAAGTCGTTAATTAGAAGATGAATGTCCTGCATATGTGGATTATAAACTAAACAATGAATTGATGAATAGAAAATGAATCATGAAAAGGGAGGTTTCAGACATTTTTTACGGAACATAATGAACTATCATAAAGTTTCCAAAAATGTTTTTAAAAATCCCTGCTTCCTGAGGAAATATCATTGCGCATCACACAATAATATATTGATTATAAATTTTAACAATAACCAGAATAAGAATTATAATCGGTTATCATAAAATGAAAAACTCAAGCTACTGGCATTCGAGAAAGTGGTCTAAAAATACTTAATTATGAATTTTGACTACACCCAATTTCATATTTGTATAGAATATCTGTCGTTTCTATTTGCTTCGACTGATACAGCACCATATTGTATATGTAAAAATAAGATAATTATAAATATTTTTATATGTTAAAATTAAAAACTAATGTTCAATGAACACTGTCGATATTTTATAGATTGCTAATGAATCTTAGAATGAAGGAAATAACGATAAAAATGATATGCCAGCGTACCTGTGCCGTCGACAAAGCTGTCAAAGAATCGACCAAACATATTGTCTCCCTCATCAAGTTGATGTGTCCACTTGAATAATTTGAATAGTGAAATAACAGCATCTTTCGGGTTGCGATACATATAAATTATCTGAAAAAAAAAATCAAAAACGAATAGACACGATACGTTACATATTCTTATATAGCAATTTCAATAAGTACCTATGTTGGATATAACGTATAAGTCACTTTCAGATTATTTCTGGCAAAAGCCTTCTGTTTTTTGCATGTACATTATGTAAAATACACCTATACTAAAAGGCTTGAATTAAATTAGGATTTTCTTAGATCATTGTAACTCTTTTTTCTCATTAGACCTAGTGACGCATTTTAGTTAATCCCCGTGCAAAGTGTTATTTTGCTTCCACTTAATAAATTAGAAGGAAATTTACTAAAACAAAACCTTTTTTTTTTTTGAAAAGATGAAAAAAACAATCAATAAAGCATTCATTTCAAATCAAAAGTAAATAAGTATTCACATGTTAAGAACAAACAAACTAAAAAGTAAGAATATGTTTGTATAAGAAAAATTCCATCCCCTATTTCCTAAAATAGTATAAACAAACCTTGAAGAAATTACGCGGAACCATAAAACTGTATCAACCATTACAAAAAACTCTATTAGATACTTCTTGATATACTAAGTTTTAAAAACTTCAAATTTCTCTCACTCATACTTGCATGCTTTGGTGACAACTAGAAAAAAAGATTTCTAAAGTTGTTGTAGCCTGGTCCTGCAAAGTATGCAAGTATTCTTAAACAAACCCTTCCATATCTAAAAGTAGTCTATATGTGTATTATAAGTACCAAAATGTTTTATTAGGAAATCTAGTAACAATGGTGTCTACCATACCATAATACTACTGGAAGTATGGTCAGTGTGAAAATAACTCTAGAAAGATATAAGAAAATAAAACAAAAACCATTCAATATTATTATTGTAGATATCAAATAAAAAAGAAGACATATCCTAATTACTCCAGACTGTCCATTAGTTGCACAGTCATATATAACTGTATTAAGAAACTAAGTAAGTAACGGCGATTTTGAATACGGGGAATCAAACATTGCGTCTATCATTTAAGCCTAGAATTTGATTAATTCTATTTCAATGGCAGATAAGATTTGTTGAATTTAAGAGCATATTATTTAAATGCTTTTCTTGGTTTCGAGAAAATTCGTCAATAAAACTGAATAGGGATCTATGACACGTAGAATAACTTTTGAACATACATACCATTGTCCTACTAATCTGAGACAAAAGATGTTATCTTTAAATAGGTCCCAGTAGTACTAATCATATATCTTAAATTCCTCAATAGTAACTAAAATCTATACTGACCCTCCCTTTGCCTTTTCGCAGTTGTTCAGGTAGAAGAAAATGATGGAGATGTGATTTTATCATCCTTGGTGATTTCATTTCGTCTATTGTCTTCTTTCCTGACAACAGAAAATAGTGTAAGCTTCTAATGATTAAAAAGAAATTTGGCAAAGGCGTAATACTGTTAAAAAATCACTAAATTAATGGATTGTTACAGGACATACAGAGCATTCCCAATCTAAGAGTCGTTAGTTCTTCGTTTTTGTAGAATTAACAAATATACTTTTCTATTTTAAAATTCATAGAACAATTTCTTCTATATTTCAAATACTTCCTGTGTTAGTCACCGGCATTACTCCAGTTTTATCATTTTATTATTATTATTATAAGTAGTAGTATCTTATTATTTTGTAGTATCGGTATAAATAGAGTTTACTCCATCCAAGAAGTATTTTACAATTAATATCAAAACCTATTCTACGTAAAAACTATATATATAGCGGCTGATTCCCCTCCTGCGACCTATGCCGGAGTTTAGTAAATATGTTTTATTTAAAATGTTTTTACTGTGCAAAACCATTTTATATAAAGATGTGATAAGTTCTATTTAACACTTTATGTTACAAAAAAATAACTAATAAATAACAGGGAATAAACATTTTGGACCACGGAAATTTAGGAATTGGAAACTATTACTTTTTTTTATTATAAGCCTTACCAACAATACCTTTATAGTACGGAAATCTGTCATCTTTGCAGTCGAGGAATGGAACTCTAACCTCTAGTTGAACGTTGTTTGCCGTTTCAAAGTCTAATGTTTGAATCAAGTAGACTAATTGTATAGTCATTGTAGTTCCTTTGTTATATAAATAACAAATACAATAATCAACTCTTTATGTGAAAACATTACACAGAAGATTCGAGTCTTGGAGCTTGTAATGCATTGTATCTTATTGTATAAGTGATGGGTTTTTGCGTGCGTCCGCGCGTGCGTGCGTGTATGTATGTGTGTGTGTTTTCGTTTCTTTTTTGTTGTTTCTTCTTCTTCTTGTTATTTTTTTTTTTTTTTGGGGGGGGGGGGAGGGGTGCTTTTTGGTTTTTATTTGTTTTTGGTTTATTGTTTTTTTTTTGTTTGTTTGTTTTTGGTTGTCTTGTTTGTCTTGTTTGTTTGTTTGTTTTTTTCTCTTGTGCGGGGGTTGTATTGGGCGGTGTTCTGTTTTATTTGTTATTGTTGTTGTTGTTGTTGTTGTTTTCTTTCTTTTTATAATTATTATTATTACTTTCATGAAAATGTATATGACCTGGCTTCATCAAATAAAATAACATATTTTTAACGGAACCTTGAATATTTCTAATCCTGTTGTACAACTGATGCAAAATAATCTTTTCATTATTTATGTTCTTTCGCATTTTGTCGAAATTTAAAAGGTGTATTAACCGTTTGATAAAGAACAAATTATTTTGACTAGGGAGGTAGGGAGGGCCGATCGCAAATGATTTAAGAATTTGGGCCCAACCCTAAATTTTCTATTTGTTATTTCGAAATCAATTTGCTTCTCTGTTTGTTTACATTTATATATTAGCACTAAAATATGATTTAACAAATAAAAGTCAATGCTTTTGCGCGGAGGTTTTAAAAGTTTTATAAATGCAAATAACACACCTGACCTAGGAAAGGTACATATCCAAATATCGTCTGCTCTAGTTTCCATAGTTTCAAATTCCTCCGCTTCACATTGCCACATTAAAATTCCTTTAAATCGTCTTTCTGCAATTCTCATAGGATACTTTTCATCCATCTTTTTTTCTGCACCTTCCATTATTATATCAATAATCTATATGATTTATATTTATCTTTACTATACACGCATACACGCTGCATGCGGTTCACTGAACTTCCATGACCTAAAAAACGCTGATCAAATCATAGCGTTTTCATTGTTTCTCTTCATTTTTTTCTTTTTACCTTTGTTAAGCTGAAAATTATTTTTTGTAAAGTTGCTAACGGCTGTATGTTTTGTTTTTAGTGACAAGTATATTATGAAGAATATAATATCTCAAATTAAAATATTCTACTGTATAATTTTAAATAGAAAAAGACAACAAAAACGCGCCTTAATATTCCAAGATTTAATACACAGTAGCATGCTAAGAAGGCGGAGCTCATCAGTAACTAAAGTCTGGTTCAAGATTTATCAACCCATCTTTTCTTTTGTTAAATCAATAAAAATTTAAATATGACAAACGGAGATAAAATTATTTGTTAGTTTTGTTGACTTACACATATGTATGGGATGTATATGAATTGAACTAAATGTTAAAATGCATAAGAGCTTTCCATTACTACTTATTGAGCTCTGCAAATGATATCATCTCCCTCCATGGGCAAACTATAGAATTCGACGAAATGTTTCAATGAAAGAGAGGAAGAGAGAATTTAAATGACTAGGTTAAGGTTCATTTAGCGTTCAATATATTTTTAGTATAGAAACTCCCTGTAAGTTGCCTAAGATATTATTCTATTAATATGTTTTTTGGATGTTTTTACTTATGTATACATTTTTAACATCTCTAACATTTTTAATTTGTTTCATTTTCTTAATGATGGATGCTCTATGTATGTAAAGGAGATGAATCTTTTATATTTTACTTTATTTACAGCGAGTGGTCTTACGTCCAAATGCCTTGACATAAGTCTTCCCTTGCTCGTAAGTATTTCGCATCGAATACGATTTTGATTCTTGATACTGCGTACACCCAGCGTTGAAATGTTACAGAAATTGGGAACTTTTTTATTAAACTGAAAAGTTTCACACAGCTGGAAGTTAGTTCATTGTAGAACCCGTTTCACAAATATATTTTAAATTTTTGCAATTTTCCTTTATACGAAAAATGTCTTAAAACGAAATTTTTACAAGAAATAGACATTATAATACTGTGTACACTCTAAAAAAAACTCAAGATTCTGTGTACGCATGTGTTATTGATTCTGCTTACACTTTCTTCGAAGCAGTCTTAGTTCATAATGGAATCAAATGGATAACACTGGCGAGCAAAAAAATGAAATATTAAAAAGATAATTAACATAAAAAAAAGATTAAAATCCTGCGATAAAGCATGCTCCCTTAAAATGCAGATGTGCAGTAATATAATCACAAAGGCCGTATGCCTACGGACATCTAAACGGCATGTCTTGCTATGTGTATAACACAGAGCAAACAAAATCTCCATTTTCTCCATTCTAAAAGGTCAAGAAAAAATATAGTTGGGCTATATAAATGGGGGTTATTTCTTATATAAACAGCCTTTTTAATCGGTTGATGCGCTCACTTAATATATAGAGGATATTGAATGAGTGTAGTTTAATACTAATTTTATTGAACGAGTTGAATAAAATCATATTATGCGAGCCTCTGGCGAACATAATATTGTTTTATTCAACGAGTTCAATAAATTTAGTATTGAATCTACACGAATCTAATATTCTATTTATCACATATGTAAAATAAGAACAGTAAACTGTTAAAATGAGTAATTTTTCAATGACGCGCCTATAGTGAAAAGCTAACATTAGCGCGCTTTTAACAACAACAACAACAATACATTTTATTGATTTGACCAGTTACAGATCATCATCATACAAATTCCATTGACATACATGTATACGTGAAAGTAGAAGTGTAAAATAAATAAAAAAATATAAAAAGAAAAAGAAATATTGATTATTATCGCTCCACGAGTGTTAAATGGAGGTTGAACATTGTATATATAAATTCCTGCCATCATACAGTACATACAGAATTTCAATAATATCATATTTTTATTTAATTAAGTTTGCTTTTTAGTTAAGTTGTATAGTTAAAGAGTTTACAATAGATTGTTATAATTCTGCAAGAATATATTGAAATACAAAAACGAAAATATATTTAACAAAAACTTAGTAAAATATACTGCATTGTATCACCAATTAACTAGAGTCTTGCGCAATGCAAAAGCTTCATATATAAATTTACCAAGATTTAGCAGTGTATGCCTATTAGAAGATTGCAACAATTTAACAAACTTATGAACACTATGTTTCTAACGCTATGTTTCTATATAGCGCAAATGACGTCACGCCAAAGTGTTATTACACTAGCTAGTGTTTTATCGTTTTATTAAATGGCTTTATCACACACCCGTGCCGATTTTGCGACTCCGTAAATATGGTATTGCACGGCCGTGCATATATTTCGACGTGACGTCATTAGCGTTATACAAACATAGTGTAAAGACACGCTAAATGTAAGCGTTATACTATAGGCGCATCAATGAAAAATGACTCTTATTTCACTTTAAACGGTCTTTATTTTGGGTATGAGATAAACAGAATATTAAATTCGTGTAAGTTCATTACTGAATTTATTGCACTCGTTGACTAAAATAATATTATGCTCGCCAGAGGCTCGCATACTATAATTTTATTCAGCTCGTGCAATAAATACAGTATTGAACTTACGCTCATTCAATATCCTTTATTCATTACACTCCTGCGCCGCGGTTAATGTGAAAATGTTATTTAACTTGTTCAAGAAATTCAGTATAAAACTTTTATGTTTATCACATACCCGTGTAGCTTTTGCATCTCCGTAAAAATGGTATTGCACGGCCGTGTTTATATAACGCATATGACGTCACGTCAAAAAAATATTCACGGCCTTGTTTAACCACCCTGGATTTTATTTTCTCACCTTACTTTATACAAGTTCCTAATCATACGAGTTTAATAACTTGTTTGCCTTAAAGCATTAAGGTCGTTTTACGTTACCAATTTTACATCTAGAAACGGATGTTGCATTTCGTGCATGCGCATACTGCATAGGGGAAAGAATAAATAATATCGATATTCAACAACTTCATAAACAACTTGATGGTATGTGTAAGATTAAACATTAGTTTAGAATAGTTAATTTTGATAAACAATAGGTGGACGAAGGTTTGCTTGTGCATATTAACGCACTATTAAGAGATCTTAAATACGAAAGTTATAGGCAATATTTCTCTTCCTATTCTCATTTTCCACAATGGCATCCAAGCTTGCGTTCAAAGGTATAACGTTTCGTATATGTCAAGTAATAATACTAAGAAATGAATAAAACACATGATTCAAAGATCATATTTGTAGGGACCATCTTAACGATGTCAATCGTCCTTCATGTTGTCTGAAGAAGAAATCACGCCTCCGCGGTCGAGGGGTTAGAGTCGATGACTTCAAATCAAGTTTTTACCTCCCTGGCGTGGGTTCGATCCCCGGGAAATGCTTTGGTAGTTTAGCACGGAGGAAGGTAGTCTAGTACTGGTACAACGGAGGAGGGGGGGGGGGGGGAGAGGATTTTTTCATAGATTAAGTAAAACTTTTTGTAACTGATTTTGAATTATTCAGGCACTTTATAGAATATGCTTTGTCTATGCTTTCTAGCAGGAGAGAGATTTTTTAAATTTTGCTTTGCCGCAAACTTTAAATGTTTCCACTTCACTTCCACCAAAATAGCAAATCAAAACCTTCTACGTTGGCGAGGAGAAATATATGTATATTAAAACAACTCATATCAGTGTGTGTACCATTTATTTATCTAGTTCATGTAATTGTTATACAATCTATGTTATATCTAATTCCATATTAAATTTAGAAATTGCAAATTTGTGTAAGAAAGTTAAAGTTAAATATATGAAATTATCAGTGTGTGAGTGTTCATTATAAAGATGGCGTTCACTACAAAATACTGCCAGAAAAATTATGAAGAAAGTAAGTTATTACAATTTTCTGTGTATTGAAATACTGTCCTTGCATGCATCAGTTCAGTTCAAGTTTTTCCAGTAAATACCTGCTTACTTCCTTTTGATCAGAAAGAAAAATAAATATGGTACTCGGTATAATACAACAGAAAATATTACAAATTTGATCAGAAAGACCAATTAAGGCAAACAAGGATAAATATGGTACTCAGTATAATTACAACAGAAAAATATCACAAAGAGTATTCACAATATTGCTTTATTTTGGGGTAATTTTCTTTTTTGCTATTTTGTTTATTGGAGGGCGGAGGATGCTTAAAGAAGTGGTGATATTAAGCTGGCAAAAGTATATGAAACACGGTTTTTAAGAAAATCACCAGTCATCAAAAATCCTCATTTATTTTGAAGGTTTCAAACAAAAACAAAATTCTTAAGATAAAATATTTTTTTTTGATAATTACTTTATGCAACTAACAAATACTTGTTTATTCAAAACATGCCATAAAAGTCAAATATTTAAAAAAAATGCTTTTCTTTAACATGACACTAAAGGTCCTTACAATTTTTAGATATAAAAAATGTATTTTTAAATATTGTAACTTTTAATAATTGGTGCCAGCACCAAATTTTGCATGAACAATCAGATTAAAAAAAATGCCCTCTTATAATTCCTAGATAAATAAGAATTGATGTCTAACTTTATTACTTTTAAGGAAAATTCATAATACCATTTCTCTAAAATTTGATAAAGTTCCATCTTAAAGGAACCTCACTGAGGTCTAACCTCATAAAATTTGATTTTTTTACATAGCCTATTAATCTGAAAATGGTTAATGTGACAATCTGGAAATTTTCATTACTGACAGTATAAAAAAACAGACAATATTAAAGATACACTAATTTTCACAATATAGAATCTGAAAAAAAAGCAAACTCTTCAAATGTATACATATATCATTTTAACAATGCTCAATGTTTGGACGGAACAAAATATACATTTGAAAAATACCTTTTTATTCATTATCACAGACATATTTGCAGCAGATAATATAATGTTCAGCATTCACAATTATTTCAAAGACTTATTTGGGATAAAAAAAAACATTCGTAAAATAGTTCTTAACACTTATCCCCAGAAATTGTGTAATGAACTTGTCCAGTTTTAAGTTTGGGACAGTCCATTATAAGTCAAAGGGATTTTGATATAAAAATATCAAAATTTGCCAGCAGACGGCTGCATATTGTATACGAAATGCAGACTTGCCGGACTTGAAACTGGTGTCAATGGCAAGTATAACAGCTGCTTCTCAGAGGGTTCAACTGTTCTTAATTTTGTTCATCTTCAAGGGACTACACCAAGTTCCAAATACGTAAAATTATCAAATTTGAATTTCTTGCATACATCAATTTGATCTCATAAAATGGAAAAATATGCAAAAGATAATAAAGAAGTGTACTCAGATTTGAACTGAAAATCAATTTTTTGTTTATCTGATGTATAATCACTTCTCATTTTTTTTTCTGTCATTTTGCACAATATAAAAACTTGATCAAAGTGAGCGAATGATCAGAAATTTTGCACACAGGTTATTATTGAACTGGATCTTTATTAAATGGTACATTAATCTAAAAAAGATATTTCCAACCCTGCTATGTCAAAAAATCTCAATGGAGTCCCTTTAAAGTGCTATTGAATAGTTTTATTTGCTTTATTTGACAGTATATCTTCATTATTCAATTTTTTTTCCATAAATTTCCAGTAAAAGCTATCTTATCAACAATCTGAAGGCCTTAACACAATAATTAATTTAATTCAAAATAATTTCAAAGGGAATTATTGTGGCAAGGATATGAATAATCTGTTCAAATATATGTACATGTAAATGCTGTAGAAAACTAAATAAATGCATAGTAAATACAACAACACATTAAAATAATAAATCTCAAAATATTTAGAAAAAACTAGAAATGTGTCCATAGGACACTGATGCCCCCACACGCCACTGTTCTGTCAATCTTATGATTTTCTAGGTCAAATATTTTTTGGACTACATGTGCCACAAGTTGAAAACTAAAAATCAACAAAGGGCCATAATTCTGTTAAATTTGGTCGCAGCAAAAAATCCTTCCTTTACTAAGATCTACACATTAAGGTTGTTAATCCCTGGAAGTTTAAGCAAAATCTGCCATCCTATTTAAAAGGAGTTGCGTTCACAAAATTTCTACATAGTATAAAGTAAAAAAATCAACAAAAGGCCATAATTCTGTTAAATTTGGTCGCAGCGAAAATTCCTTCCTTTACTACCATCTACACCTTAAGGTTGTTCATCCCTGTAAGTTTAAGCAAAATCTGCCATCCGGTTTAAGAGGAGTTGCGTTCACAAAATTTCTACATAGTATAGAGTGAAAAAATCAACAAAGGGCCATAATTCTGTTAAATTTGGTCGCAGCAAAAATTCCTTCCTTTACTACCATCTACACATTAAGGTTGTTCATCCCTGGAAGTTTAAGCAAAATCTGCCATCCGGTTTAAGAGGAGTTGCATTCACAAAATTTCTACATAGTATATAGTGAAAAAATCAACAAAGGGCCATAATTCTGTAAAATTTGGTCGCAGCAAAAATTCCTTCCTTTACTACCATCTACACATTAAGGTTGTTCATCCCTGTAAGTTTAAGCAAAATCTGCCATCCGGTTTAAGAGGAGTTGCGTTCACAAAATTTCTACATAGTATCTAGTGAAAAAATCAACAAAGGGCCATAATTCTGTTAAATTTGGTCGCAGCGAAAATTCCTTCCTTTACTACCATCTACATATTAAGGTTGTTCATCCCTGTAAGTTTAAGCAAAATCTGCCATCCGGTTTAAGAGGAGTTGCGTTCACAAGATTTCGGGACGTACGGACGGACTGACTGACGGACGGAATGACGGACGGACTGACGGACGGACGGACAAGTGCAACGCTATATGCTCCCACATTGTGGGGGCATAAAAAGAAACATATACAAAAATATATAATGGAATGTCCAGCATTCAAAGGAATGTCCAGCATCTTTTCTCTAATTTTCATCCAATAAATAAAAAAATTGCAAAATAATGTTCTTAACTCCACCCCACATGGAATATTTACAAAAATGTTCCTGGTTACTTTCAGTAATACAGTCAAACTAATTTTAATTCAAATGATGATTCAAATGATTTTAAAATTTGTATAATCAAATTTGTTTGAATTCATTAGGGGAGGGGCGTTTGTGGGGATGTGGTAAGGGTCTTGCATAAATAGAATGTCTTTTTTTCCTTTAATTTTGTTGATTTTGATAACATATTACAGGTTTGTTTTTCTTTGGTTTTGCAGTTTTTGATTACATTTTTAAGTCATTTTTTTACCAGTATTTCTTTGGTTTTATCAATTTTGATCACAAGTATTAATAGTGATTGTCCAAATGCTTTTATCATGGTCAGCGTTTAGAGTGGATTTTCCACGGAACTCGGCAACCTTCCACCCAATTTTGTGACAACGTCCTTCATTTCATTGAGCTCTGAAAAAAGGAAAGATTTCTTCTTTTATAGAAATGCAATTTCTCAGAAAAATAATCTTTGCATTACATATACAAAATGTATTATTAGACGTGTTCACCTAACTCAAGTTAATGGCATTGGTATGACTAAAATTGGGCACATTCAACTTTATAGTTAATGAAATTCCTGACCAAATTAAGCCAAAAAATGAAAATATTAATGTTTCGACTTCCCTACCAAAGCAAAATAGGGCTGGGTTGTTGGGTATATAGTACATTTATTTTTAATTTTCTGCTAAATGTCTTTTTTTTTACAAGAATTAAAAACAAGCAATATTTAATATTTTAAGGAAATTGAACTCTAATTGCAATTATATTTTATGATAACAAGAGCCACCGCCGGGCGGGGGCAACGCTCGACTTTTTACTTTTTCTAAACGCAAACATAGAAAGGTTTGAACATATATTGATGTTTCCTTTTTATAAATTTAGTTGGTCTGTCTTGTCACATTAGTTTTGTTTATATATTTTGTATATATATGAATAGAAACATTAAGCATATTTCTAAAAATAGCAACAGTACGCAATTTCTAACAAGAGGGCCATGATGGCCCTGAGGTCGCTCACCTGTATATAGGCCCCCCCCCCCACCCCCGGGCCAATTTTTACCCACGGGCTTTTATTTGTTTATTTGAACAGACTTGGTAGACACCCATAAGAAGCTGTTTCATGCTAAACATCTAAGTTCTAGCTCATTGGGTTTTTTAAAAAAAGATTTTTAAAGTTTTTACTATACACATATAGTTAAAAACAATGACACCCCTGGGGCAGGGCCAGTTTTGACCTCCGGGCTTTTATTTGAACAAACTTTGTAGATATTTACTTAAAGATGTTTCATGCTTAGTATCTAAACTCTAGCTATTTGGGTTTTTTCAAAGAAGATTTTTAAGTTTTTGCTATACACATATAAGGAAAATCAATGACCCCCCCCCCCGGGCGGGGCCAGTTTTGACCCCAGGGCTTTTATTTGAACATACTTGGTAGACACCCATTAGAACATGTTTCATGCTAAATATCTTAGCTCTAGCTCTTTGAGTTCTTTAAAAGAAGATTTTTTAAGTTTTTACTATATGCATATAGGGAAAATCAATGACCCCCCGGGGTGGGGCCAATTTTAACCACAGGGCTTTAATTTGAACAAACTTGGTAGACACTCACTAGAACATGTTTCATGCTTAATATCTAAGCTCTAGCTCTTACGGTTCTTTAAAAGAAGATTTTTTAAGTTTTTACTATATGCATATAGGGAAAATCAATGACCCCCCGGGGCGGGGCCAATTTTGACCCCAGGGCTTTTATTTGAACAAACTTGGTAGACACTCACTAGAAGATGTTTCATGCCAAATATCTTAGCTCTAGCTCTTTGGGTTCTTTAAAAGAAGAATTTTAAGTTTTTACTATATGCATATAGGGAAAATCAATGACCCCCTGGGGCGGGGCCAATTTTGACCCCAGGGCTTTTATTTGAACAAAATTGGTAGACACTCACTAGAAGATGTTTCATGCCAAATATCTAAGCTCCAGCTCTTAGGGTTGTTTAAAAGAAGATATTTAAAGATTTTTCTTTCGGTTGCCATGGCAACCAGAGTTCTGCATGGAATTAAATTCTTTGAACAATTTTTAAAGGTGACCACCAAAGGAACATTCCTGTGAAGTTTGGATGAAATTGGCTCAGTGGTTTATGAGGAGATGTCATTTAAAGCAAAAGTTTACGGACGGACGGACGGATGACGGACGGACGACGGACGGACGACGGACGGACGGACGCCGGACGAAAAGCGATCACAAAAGCTCACCCTGTCACTTTGTGACAGGTGAGCTAAAAATAGCAACAATGACGCAATTTCTAAAAATAGCAACAATGACGCAATGTCTAAAAATAGAAAAAAATGACACAGTTTCTAAAAATAGAAAAAATGACGCAATTTCTAAAAAAAAATTAAAAAAAATGACGCAATTTCTAAAAATAGAAAAAAATGACGCAATTTCTAAAAATAGAAACAATGACGCAATTTCTAAAAATAGAAAAAAATTAGGCAATTTCTAAAAATATAAACAATGACGCAATTTCTAAAAATATAAAAAAATGACGCAATTACCAAAAATAGCAACAATGACGCAATTTCTAAAAATAGAAAAAATGACGCAATTTCTAAAAATAGAAAAACATGACGCAATTTCTAAAAATAGAAAAAATGAAGCCATTTCTAAAATTAGCAACAATGACGCAATTTCTAAAAATAGAAAAAAATGACGCAAATTCTAACAAAAGCAACAATGACGCAATTTCTAAAAATAGAAAAAATGACGCAATTTCTAAAAAAATAGAAAAAATGACGCAATTTCTAAAAATAGAAAAAATGACGCAATTTCTAAAAATAGAAAAACATAACGCAATTTCTAAAAATAGAAAAAATGACACCATTTCTAAAAATAGCAACAATGACGCAATTTCTAAAAATAGAAAAAAAATGACGCAAATTCTAAAAATAGCAACAATGATGCAATTTCTGAAAATAGAAAAAATGACGCAATTTCTAAAAATAGAAAAAAATAACGCAAATTCTAAAAATAGCAACAATGACGCAATTTCTAAAAATAGAAAAAAATGACGCAATTATATACATGTATATATATATATATATATATATATATATATACAAACACATTCCTCCATTTACGGGGCATCGGTCTATTTGAGACCATACTTGTGGGGTGTATATTTAATGTGGGGCATACATAAGGCCTCGCAACTCTGGCATGTTTAAAACGATGTATGGGGGCGTAGGCTACCCTTTTAACATAGTGCCCGTAGGCCGGTTTTAGTAGTAAATGATATATGTCCCACAAATGTATATATTTTTAATGGGGTTTTCTGTTATTGGTCAATATGTTTTCACCTATGGTAAAATCAAATATATAGTTGATATATATAACTTAGTACCCCTTAGTTCTGTTGTATGGAAATGTTCATTTTATGCCTACAAAGTGGCGTATATAAAAACTGACTGCATGAAATAATGCCACTCAACTCGGTCTTATATATGGGCCCCGTAAGTGAAGATATGTGTGAATATATATATATATATATATTATATATATATATATATATTTGATATATATATATATATTTGATATATATATCTATATATCTATATATATATATATATATATATATATATATATATATATATATATATATATATATATATATATATATATATATATATATATATATATATATACATGCATATATATATATATATTTATATATATATATATATATATATATACCTGCATATATATATATATATAATACATATACTACACATACACACACCAATAAATGCACAATCTGAGAAAATTCAGTAATATAACCTTCAAGGTCAAGGTCATTAAAGAGCCCAAGCAAATTTGGGTTTGATAAACAACAAGGTCTGGTCCTTAAGAATGTTCTGTTATTATATGAAGTTTATCCCTTCAAAAATAGCAAAGTTACAGTCAGTTACTGCCAAAACAACGAAAATTTCAATAATTTGACCTTCAAATGCAATGTCATTAATGAGTGAAGGTCAAGGTCTTTCGGTATATTTTTAACAGTTATCTTTGAAGATTATTATGTTCAAGTTTGAAGACAATCCATTCAAAAATAACAAAGTTACAGCCAATAATAGCCAAAAAAATGAAAATTTCAATAATTTGACCTTCAAAGTCAAGGTCATTGATGAGTGAATGTCAAGGTCTGACTGGTAATTTTTAAGGGATATCCTTGAAGATTATTATGTTCAAGTTTGAAGACAATCCATTCAAAAATAACAAAGTAACAGCCAATAACAGCATGAACAAGCAAAAATTGGACTTTTAACCTTGAAGGTCAAGGTCATTTATGGATGAAGGTCAAGGTTAGTGTGGTCTACTGAAAGGTCTTTTCCCAAGGGTTGTTGTGGCCAAGTATGAAGACAATGCACCAAAAAATAAAAAAGTTATGATCCAGGTACAAGTTTTCGGACGGCAACGGCAACGGCAACGTGGACGGCAACGGCAACGCCGACCTGACTATATCAATACCTCTACTTTTTTTTTCAAAAAAAAAAAGTCGAGCTAAAAATGGTGACAGTAACAGGTCCACATCTATTATACGTAAACAACTGTACACCATTTGACAATTTGAGATCATATTCCTACATACCACTTTTGTACCATTTTGTAATAAGAGTGGGAAAATAGTTTTTCCAAACGGTGCAAAAATTCACTAGGTAGGTAGGAAAGGGGAAACAAACATTTCCACTTTTTGCCATACAGAAAATTGATCAGCCAGTGATCAGATTGCAAGGAAAAGCAGACGGTTATATCACAATGATGTCATAGTAGCTGCTGCTGTTTTACCAAATTTTGCACTAAAAAGTAAAAAACCTAATTTCAAATGATAGATAATTTCCATCAACTATAACTGATCACTCTTATATTCAATTTGTAGATCCCAAAACATCTGAGACATACAGGATATAACAATCTCTTTAAGCTAAGAAAGAAAGGATTAAAGTTAGAACAAGGACAATCTATTTATAGTAACATATCATACGTAGTCTGAGCTCCTGATTTTCAAGGACAAGTTCGTTGTTGCGTGCGGACAGGAAGACTGCGTCCTGAATAGAATCATCAAGCAAGTGGCGGTAACGTTGTTCTATAGCCACCTTCTGCTCCTCAAACATTTCACGATAATTCCTGAATGTCTAAAAATAGAATAAAATATGTGCCTGATTATGTGGATATTAATATGTAAAAACCATAAAAGTCCTATTTCTCAACTTTCTTGTGGGTGACAAAACAATAATAATATTTTGCAATATTGCAACATTACATTTTGTGAGACGCAATGTAATTATAACTAGAGCTGTTAGTAGGATAGTATGCTTGACTATTCTCAGTGTTTGATAGTAAAACAAAAGCCTTGATAATGTAGAATATTCTAAATTCATAAAAGCGCCGTAATTTTGTCAAAATCCATGTTAATGTTATGAGTCTTAGACAGTGACCACCTATTATGCTCTAAAATAAGTGTGTGAAGTTTCAATTCATTCCTTTCAGTAGTTTTGGAGATACCAACTTGCATGTTAAAACTTTAAGGGCTCCCGTGAGGTTTTTTGACTTGAAGGGATGGAAAATATTTTTTTCCAAGATTTGTGTACAAATTGATTGTGGTTTTATTTAATAACTTGTGTGCAAATTTTCAGCTCATTCCCTCACCCTGTTTTTCCAGAATAGCCTTTTTTATCGTCAAAAATGGCCAAAAAACTACTAAGATCTGGCTAAGAATCACATAAAAATCGATTTCGATTTAATTCTGAGTATATTTTTTTGTTACCCTTTGCAATTTTTTTCTGTTATAAGTGCTTCACATCCTATTTGTATGATTTTCAAATTTTATGTTTTTATGCCTTTGGACCTCAGTGGAGTACCTTTAACCAAAGTGCATGGCTCTCCATATTCTTTAAATAGTTCAGCTAAAAATATCATTACAGTAATGTAAGTTTTTTGATAAGTCAGACGGCTATAATTTAAGGTCAAGCAAGAGAAACCTTATAGCCTTATTGTTTAATATAGACACCAGGTGGACTGGTGACCTTCCTGGCCTTATTTCAGTCTCAAACAATAGACAGGTAAAACAATCATTCTAAAAAACCAGCTGATTTTGTGCTCTTTACTGTATCATTCACATTACATGTGGGAAAAGTTTTTGTTGACATTCCTACATAAAAAAATAAAAGATGACATTCCTAATATCAACAAAAAAGAATCAATTATTGCGAAGTGAAAAATACCAAATGGCTGAATTAAGAAGAAAAAACATTTCCTTGTAAGAAATATCTTCTTTTTTTTTCAAAAGGATAACAAAATAAAACAGTTTTTTTTAATGAAATATCTATCTACCACACACACACACACACACACACACACACACACACACAAAATGCAAAGACCGCATCTTGACTACTGTCATTTTATATAAGAACTTACGTTATTCTTAAATTTTAAAACAAATTTTGCACATGAGCCTTAAAGTTTTTGTTTGGTTTCGCTTTACAAAATACTTTTTTTTTAAATGAAATACATGTACATGCAAAGTAATTTATTTCATAAATCTTTCACCATACATGTACATGTACCAAGATGTTCTACGAGGAATAACTGCAGAAATTAAGATTTGGTCAGAAAAACAGCAAATCAAAGGCCTGAACGGCCATTATGGCTAACGGTAGACCTATAGATAATTTTTCAAGTGATTAGTTTTAAACTTCTTGATTTTTTTCACTTCCAGATTTCAAATTCAATTAGATTTTTTTTTATAATTTTCAATAAGTCTTTTAGCTGTTGGTCAGAGGGCTATATTAAATGTTTTTATGCTTTTTTTTTATAACATATCAGATGAACAACTACACCACCTACAATGAAAGGCTCAGTTTTAACTATGACTGAGGTCACTTCTCTGTCACAAGTCAACTACGCTTCACATTCTTTTCCAAGAGTAGAAACGATGACATATGCAATTAAAACAGATTCATTTCCATGCACAATTTCCTATTTTAATATCTCTGTTCTTTTTACCAAATTTAGCATAAACAGTGAACTTTACAACATTTGAAGAGATTTATTTTGTACGGCGGAAGCGTCCTGGTGCCAATTTAACATGTTCTATAAGAAAAGTAACTCCTACCTAGGACTTTGCAGCTCATACAAAGGACTTTATAACTCCTACGTAGGAGTTTGTTATAAACTCCTAATCAGGCTTTTTTAACTTCTACATAGGAGTTACAAAGTATTACGTAGGAATTTGTCAGTCCTACGTAGAACTTTAATACTCCTAATTTGGTTTTTATATCCCCTACGTAGGAGTTATAAAGTCCTGCTATATAAATGCATATACTGCGAATTCACTTATATTGGTGGGCATGAAATTTCGTGGTTTTATCAAAACTGGCATTTAAATGGGTTCTTAAATTTGTGGATTTTTAATTTCAAAGCCAGCCAAGTCTATTATGAAAATCTAGTAGGACAATACTTTTGGATTAGTTGTAGCAAACAATTTATGTGTCAGGTAGAAAACCAATTTAAGAGCAAATCAGAGAAAAATGCATGGGTTATAAGAAATTCCATGGGTTATATGGAATTCCATGGATTATAAGTAATTCCATGGGTCACAAGAAATTTCATGGTGTATAAGAATTCCATGGGTTATAAGAAATTATGTGGGTTATAAGAAATTCCATGGGCTATAACAAATTTCACAGGTTATAACAAATTCCATTTGCTATAAGAATTCCATAGGCTATAAGAAATTCCATGGGTCATAAGAAATTTCATGGTCTATAAGAAATTCATTGGGTTATATGGACTCCCATGAGCTATAAGGAATTCTATGAGTTATAAGGAATTCTATGGGTTATAACGAATTCCATTGCTTATAAGGAATTCCATGGGTTATAGTGAAGATACAGACATTTATATTTGACTAACAAACCTGATAATGTTGAAGTTGCTGTAGTTCCATCTCGTCTTTGTGTAGTCTATGTATCTCCTCTAATTCTTTTGCCAGTCTTGCCTTCTCTTGTTGTATACACTGCAACTGTAGAAATGTAGGAAAATACCAGGTTAGAACAGTGTTGAACTATGTGGTGGTCAGAACACTTCTTTTCATTTTGACAATATACTTATTGATATTTTAAAGGTTATGGCTTTTAGAGCATTAAAATCATGTTTCTTTTGCATAAAAGGATAAAAAAAACCTATGATAAACATTTAAACTTTTATTTTTCCTTGTTTTTAGGGTGTGTGTTTTTTTTCTTTGCTGGATTAAGTTAATGGAAATAAATCTGGGCTTTTCTTGATACCGAGTTTGTATAATTCTGACTAATGTACTTTGCGTTTTTGTAGGAGCTTGGTTGAGAAAAAGAGATCACGTACCTGTAATGTAACGACTGACTTCTCTGCTTTCATTTCAGCCACTTTAATCTCAAGTTCCTCACCCTCCTTGGTGGAATATTTCTTCCCCTCCGCTGCACGCATCTGAATTTCAGCTTTCTCCGCGTCAATGTCCAGTCTGGTACGTTCTAACTCCTCGGCCACCAGCGACTTGTTTGATTCTTCAAGTTTCTTCCTTTCTTCAAGCTGTAAACAGAGTAAGCATATACTATGGTTTATATCCAAAAGGTTTGTTTAGCATTTCATTTTCAAACGTTTAACATTTCATTTTCAAACAAGATTATCCATTATATTGATGGACAGATTTGTTAAAATTAAAGCATGGCCTTACAATGAGAAAATATTGGAAAAAATCCTATTTTTAACCTCAGTGACCTTGACTTTATCTACCAGATACCTCTACCAAAAGGGGACAGAGGTTCATCAAGAAAAAGAACACATGACATATCTACGATATAAAGGTGCTATGTGAAATGGTAAGTAATTAAGTGTGATGGCCACTGAAATACAAGCTGGCAACTTTATGCTTCATCAAAAACAAAATTTTGGTGAGTATAGATGTCAAAGATAGGATTAAAAAGCAATGCAGATTCTAAAATTATAATTTCTTTCTATAATATTAATTATTTTCAGTACAATGTACTTTATTCCCCAATTTCCCCCCTTTATATTTACTTAGATAAGGAAAACAAGTGTAAGTATACAACAAGAACTGTCGGAGGACAGTAATGTTCGACTATTCGAAAAGTTGTCACAAGGGTGTTTCATTGAGTATAATAATGCTTACCTATATGAATACATAAAATTGTCTAAAAAGGTACAAACCCTTCAGTAGTTATGGAGATACCGTCTAACAAGCAAAAATTTACCTAGAATTTCTAAGTCAAAAAAGGGGCATAATTATGCAAAAAAGCAAATCAGAGTTATGGGACTTGTGCCATTCATCTTAGATTATCACAGAAAACAAGTGTGTGAAGTTTCAATCCATTCCCTTCAGTAGTTATGGAGATACCGTCTAACAAGCAAAAATTTACCTAGAATTTCTAAGTCAAAAAAGGGGCATAATTATGCAAAAAAGCAAATCAGAGTTATGGGACTTGTGCCATTCATCTTAGATAATCACAGAAAACAAGTGTGTGAAGTTTCAATCCATTCCCTTCAGTAGTTATGGAGATACCAGCTTACACGCAAAAACTTAACCAAGAATTTCTAAGTCGAAAAAGGGGCATAATTATGTAAAAAAGCAAATCAGAGTTATGGGACTTGTGCCAATCATCTTAGATAATCACAGGGAACAAGTGTGTGAAGTTTCAATCCATTCCCTTCAGTAGTTATGGAGATATCAGCTTACACACAAAAACTTAACCAAGAATTTCTAAGTCGAAAAAGGGGCATAATTATGTAAAAAAGCAAATCAGAGTTATGAGACTTGTGCCAATCATCTCAGATAATCACAGGAAACAAGTGTGTGAAGTTTCAATCCATTCCCTTCAGTAGTTATGGAGATACCAGCTTACACGCAAAAACTTAACCAAGAATTTCTAAGTCGAAAAAGGGGCATAATTATGTAAAAAAGCAGATCAGAGTTATGGGACTTGTGCCAATCATCTTAGATAATCACAGGGAACAAGTGTGTGAAGTTTCAATCCATTCCCTTTAGTGGTTATGGAGATATCAGCTTACACACAAAAACTTAACCAAGAATTTCTAAGTCGAAAAAGGGGCATAATTATGTAAAAAAGCAAATCAGAGTTATGAGACTTGTGCCAATCATCTCAGATAATCACAGGGAACAAGTGTGTGAAGTTTCAATCCATTCCCTTCAGTAGTTATGGAGATACCAGCTTACACGCAAAAACTTAACCAAGAATTTCTAAGTCGAAAAAGGGGCATAATTATGTAAAAAAGCAAATCAGAGTTTTGGGACTTGAGCCAATCATCTTATATAATCACAGAGAACAAGTGTGTGACGTTTCAATCCATTCCCTTCAGTAGTTATGGAGATACTAGCTTACATGCAAAAACTTAACCACAGGGACGCAGACAAATGAGATGTTTAACTAAATTTCCACAAGTGAATGGAACTTACTTATATGAATCATTTGAAAATGACAACCTAACACACCTGTCTTTCAAAAAAATGTGCCAATATAAAATTAAAGAAGGGGCATAACTAAATAACCTAAATTGTATTGGTGGACTGTAAAACCAAACAAAACAAGCAAACTTTAAATACTGATTGTGCCTGACTGATTAGTCCTGCTTTACATTCATAATGGTCTACTTCATTTAATTATTGCAGTCACCTGTGTAGAGATTGATAAGATTGCAGAGATAGGCCTACATGTATTTAATAACAATTAATAACAACAATGTAAAGAGACTTTTATTAAGCTACAGCTAAAACAGTTATAAGGCAATAGCTAAAGAGCGATATTATTTCATAAGGCTACTGTTAAATTGTCATGTTTGACCTACAGTCATAATAATCCAACCAATGAAACATATAAATTTTTGTTTTAATCAACTGTAATACTTTATCTGTACATGTATTAAACAAACGCGATAAAATAGGGCTTAACAACAGTCATATGATTCTCAAGTTTACTTAACACTATCAAGGATGATCATATGATCCGTGATGTGAGCTGATAACTTTTAAATTTGATACTTAAGTTAAAATTGTAAAGTTACCGACACATATAAACAAGAGCTGTCGGTAGGACAGCACGCTCGACTATTCTAAGTGCTTGATAGTAAAAGAGCCTTGATAATGTTAAATTTTTTAACATCACAAAAGGTCTAATTTTTTTTTAATAAATTCATGTTATAGGCCTTAGAGAGAGTCTAATTATACAGTATTGGCTTGACTATTCGGAAGGTAATGTCACAAGGTTGTTTTATTGAGTATAATAATACTAATTACCTATGAATACATAAATTTGACAGAAAAGGTACATAGGCTTCTAATTAAGATGTTTTATCAAGTAAATCACTGCTTTATTATTATGAATGCATAAAATTGTCCCAAAAAAGGGCACAAACCCTTCAGTAGTAATTGAGATTATAAACAGCTTACAAGCAAAACTTTACCATGAATTTCTAAGTTGAAAAAGGGGAGAAAAATCAGCCTAAATGCAAGACAGAATTATGGATCTTTGTCAGTGACCTACAATTATGACCCTAAATGCATATGTGAAGTTTTAAATAAAAATCTTTAATAGTTATTGAGATATGTAAAACTTGCATGTAAACATTAACCAAGAGACAAAGTAGAAAAGGGGATATGAATCAGCCTTAATGCAAGATAGAGTTATGGAACTTGGTCAGTGACATACAATTATGACCCTCCAATTATGACCCTAAGTGCATGTGTAAAGTTTCAAGTAAATATCTTTGAAGACCTTTAACCTTTAACCAAAATTTCTAAGTTCCAAAGGGGCATAATTCTGTCAATATTGTAGGCAGAGTTATCCAACTTGTCAATCTGATGTACCTTGTTACTATAAATAAGTATTGTAAGTTTCAATTGAATATCTCAAGTAATAATTGAGATATTTGACTTTACAAAAAACTTTAACCAACGCAGACGCCGACGCGGACGCTGACGCCGACGCGACTACAATAGCTCTCATATTCTTCGAATAGTCGAGCTAAAAAATGGCTACTGCTTTTCCTTCTGATGATGGGGACCATCGTAATGACTTTGACTCATCAACAAGAGAATCTGATGAAGTCAGATCAATGCACTGTGAAGACTGTGAAAAAGATTTAGGGACTTTCATCACAGCCAATGGATTTTGCGTTCTGTGTTATAAATTTTTGTGTTCAACATGTGTGAGATACCACAACAAACAGTTTCCAAAACACAAACTGCAAGACAGCTCAATCATGCCACAAGATTACTGTTTTGACAAATGTCCAAAGCATCCAAGAGAAATTCTTAAATTTTACTGCAACAACTGTGAACTGGAAATTTGCTCACAATGCAAAGTTGAGGATCACAGTTGGATTCAATGCCTTGAGGTTTTTCATATTCCTACAAGTCTGCATTCTGACCAGATGACTAATGAACTAAAGGAGGTTACTCAGTCTATGGGCATTGCTTTTGATAAACTAGCTGTAAGAAGGGAAAATACTAAAAGAAATTTGATCAGAGTACAAACAAATAGAGATGAAGTTGATGAAGCAATAGAATCACACAAATATGACCTAATATATTATACTAATGTCAAATATAAAGAATGGCTTCAACACAAAGAAAGGGAACAATCTGAAGAAATCAAAGCCTATGAAAAACGAAGAGCTGAAATAATTGCCAGGTTAGATAAAGAAAAAGATGATCTACTTGAAAGGCATCAGAAAGAAGACAATTCATTGAAAGAAAAGCTAAAGAATCACAAAGCTGAAATACTGCAACAAATTGACACTCAAGCACAGAACTTGCACAAGATGAAAGAAAATGATGTTCACAAACTTGAACTTGTTTTATCAGATTTTGATAAAGCCGAAGCTAAAGTTAAAGAACTGGAAATGACTATTGAAAAGAACAAAATAACTGGTGAAAAATGCAAACTTTTTGTTGCTGTGAAAAAAGTTATATCAGAAATGAAAAGGTATAATTTGTCAGAGGATAAAAACTTCAATAAAGAAAGCGAAATTGTCATCCATCAGTTCCTAAAGAAAAATAATAATATTAATTTACGGTTTCCAGAAAATGAAATTTCTTTTGGTTATCTTCAGGATCTATCTAAAACAATAGTACGTTTTGTACAAGAAGACGAAATTCAATTAAAACCATGCAGCAAAGACAATGTCATTGGATATAAAATGTGTAAAACTAGAGATCATTTAGTAATTGTTGAAGAGGAGAAATTTGACATAAAGCTGGTAAATTTGAGAGACAAAAATGTGAAATCTTCAATGCCTCTTCCTCACAAGCCGTATGATGTGACAAATGTAGATACAAATGATTTTGCTACAACATTGACATCTGCCAAGAAAATCCAGGTTCTGACCATAACAAGGCAAGGAGACCTTTCACTGGTCAACAACATTCATATTGGCAAGGAATGTTATGGTATTGGCTACATGAAGCCATATCTTATTGTGGCATGTCAACATCCAGGAAGTGTTGAAATTTTACTTCGGAATGGGGTCCACATAAAATCATTGATAAACTTTAATAATCCTCTACATGTATTGGTAGACCAGAACAATTGTGCATTTTATATAACAGACAAAATCAACCCTAAAACAGAGACTATCAAAAAAATAAATTATTCATTGAAGATTGAAACTGTCAGTGAAAAACTTTATTGTTCACCAAATAATCATAGCAGTTTATTTGTTGAAAACAACGGGTTTGTCTATATGTTTGAAAGTCAAGCTTATCTTGGTTTTTTGAAAGAGGGAGGAAAACTTTTTTTCAAATTTTCCAAAGACTTGCAAAGAAAAGCAAGCATAGACTCAGAAATGTTAACAGATCAAATTGTAGGTACTTTCTTTTGTAGAGAAGACAACAAACTTTATGTGGGAAACACACAGGGCGAGATAAGTAAATGGAGCAGTATATCATTCTTTTCCAGGAACTCTTAGGGATTTTTTTTAAAGATGGAATATGAACATTAAAAGATATGAAAAAAGGCCAACAAAATATTATAGAAACAATATTTTGTTGTATCTTATAACCCTACTTGATCTAATCCGTTTTGCCCTTTAAATCATGTGCCAAACTCAAAACCTCTGAAAAATATATAATACTCAAAATAAAATAAATAGTAACAGTCACAATGGATTCCCATGGCCAAAACATATGAAATATGTTATAACTGAACTCTGGATTATATATTTTGTCTTGTAAGAAAAGGTAAAAGCAGTAGATTAGTCTTTAGTTCAAACATATTTTAATATTTGAAGTTGATTGCCAAACATGTTCTTGCACATTATATTAATCATTTTCTAGTCCACTTCCTGGAACTAACCAGCCCTGGTGTCATATGAAGAAACATGGTCCTTGGAATAAGAGGTAGACACCTTAACCACTATAGGTCACCACTCCTGAAAAAGTTACCAAGCCAATTTTAAACTAGAAATGTGTCCATAGGACACTAATATGTGCCCCCCATCCCACATCATTTAGCTTTAACAGTGTCATATTTACATATATTTCATCAAGATACTATAAGGTCTTATATCAATAAGTAATTTTTTTGTGACGTGAAAATACACTGGCACCCTATTATAATAGGTTCATTTGAAGTTCTCAACATGTGATATTAACATGTTATAATGCTCACCTTGAGATCAGATTGTTAGCAGGTAGAATTTTATCATTTACCCCAATCCAGTCAATTAAAGGAAAAGAATTCTATAAGACTTGGCTTTCATTCTCATCCTTTTCCATTGTGTAAAAATATTGTGTTTGTTATTAATTTGTATGTACATTATATATTCTTTCAGGAATAAATATGTTTAAACCAATCTAATCAATTGTAATCATTTGAAAGAAGAAAATTTGTTTAAAATTATTAATAAAATAGCCAGAGCTTATGGTAGGACTGCATGACTGACTAATTTCTGTGCCTGATAGTAAACCAATAAAGAGCCTGGATAATGTAAAATTCAAAAAGGGCTGTAATTCTGTCAAAATTCATGTTAGAGTTATGGGCATTGGGTAGTGACCTCCAGTAATGCCTTAAAAAATAAGTGTAGTGTTTCAATCCACTCTCTCCAGTAGTTTTGGAGATACCAACTTGCACGCAACAAGAGGGCCATGATGGCCCTGAATCACTCACCAGAAACAACTGTCAATTAAACTTGCCCTAGATCCTTAGCTCTAGAAGCTCCTAGAAGGGGCCAATAAAATTAACAAGAGCAAATTTGATAAAGGACATTAAAGAATGCTACAGACAAAGTTTAGTGATCATCCATCAATAAGTTCAGTAGAAGATGCTGTTTATAGGTTTTACTATTTTTTGCTCTACTGAGACCCTTAAAAGGGGCCATTCAAAATATTATGAACAAATTTGTTAAAAGACTACCTAAGAATGCAACAGACAAAGTTTGGTGATAATCCATCAATAAGTTCAGTAGAAGACAATTTTAATGGCTTTTCTATTTTAAGCTCTAGAGACCCATAAAAGGGGCCAATCAAATTTATATCAACAAATTTGATAAAAGACTACCTAAGAATGTTACAAACAAAGTTTTGTGATAATCCATTAGTTCAGTAGAAGAAGATGCTTGAAAGTTTTCTTCTTTTAAGCTTTAGAGACCCAAAATTGGGCCAATCAAATTAATATGAGCAAATTTGATAAAAGACTACCTAAGAATGCTACAGACAAAGTTTGGTGATCATCCATCCATTAGTTCAGTAGAAGAAGGTGTTTAAAGCTTGTTTTTTTTTAAGTTCTGTTGACCCCTAAAAGGGGCCAATTGAAATGATATGAGCAAATTTAATTGTGACAGTCACAAGGATGCTACAGACCAAATTTGGAGTAAATCTGCCAAGCAGTTTCAGAGAAGAAGATGAATGTGGATGCATAAAGCCGGACACCAGAGCATCCCCCTTTGATACTTATTGCTCACCCTGAACCTTTGGTGACCTAAAAATCTTAACCAAAATGTGCCTGTGTGAGAACTGTAATAGCTCTCCCTATTTTTTTAATAGTTCAGCTAAAAATATTTTTTTTGTTTGTAAAATATTATTGATTATGTGTAGAAAATCAACTTTATAATTTGCTTCGCACAAACAATAAATAATTGGTGGCCCAAGAAAATGTCTGTAAATAAATAACTGTAACATTTTATTAATAAAAAGAGACAGGCAAAACAGATTCATATTTTATCAAACAATTTCCTATATCAACTGTTGGTTAATCATCATTATAACAGTCAATCTTTTGAAATATATACATGAATACAGTCAATTCAGCTCAACTTGATAATAGAACAAGAGCTGTCACAGGAGACAGCGAAGCTCAACTAATAAAATACTGGACGCAGAAAGGAAGACAAAACTATGAAAGAAAAATCGATTATGTATAATTATGTATTACGTTATAGTAAAAAAATAACATTGTTAACATAAATTCCAAGATCAAGGGGAATAATTCTAGAAATAGTCACACTAGAGTTATGAACCTTGTCACACAACATGTGTCTAATGATAAGAAATATATACAAAGTATTTGAAGTTTGAAATAGATACCTAAATAGTAAAGAAGTTATAATATATCTTAAAAGAAATCTTAAGTTCAAATAGGGATAAATCTGTAAATATTGCTTCAAAAGTTATGAACATTGTCACATGAAATGTAATTGATGATAAAGAATAAGTATTTGAAGTTTGAGATAGATACCTTTAAAACTAAAACAGTTATAGTAAAAAATAGCATTTTTAAGTAAAAAAATCTTAGTTTATGGGAGAAAATTCTTGCAATATTGGTGCTAGAGTTATGAACCTTGTCACATAACATGTGGTTAATAATAAGGTACATATATTTGAAGTATGAAGTTGATCCCTTAAGAAATGAACAAGTAACAGTAAAAAATAATATATTTTTAAGGAAAATTCTAAGTTCAAGGGGAGCTAAATCTGCAAATATTGGTGCTAGAGTTATGAACCTTGTCACATAAGATAGGGATGATGATAACGTACATATATTTCAAGTATGAAGTGGATCCCTTAAGAACTAAAGAAGTAACAGTAAAAAATAGTACTTTTTAAGGAAAATTCTAAGTTCAAGGGGAGATAAATCTAATAATATTGGTTCTAGAGTTATGAACCTTGTCACATAAAATGTGGTTGATGATTAGGAACAGATATTTTAAGTTTGAAGCTGATGACTTAAGAAATGACAATGTTATAGTGAAAAATATTTTACTGCACCAAAACTTTAATCTGAAATCTGGACGCAGACGTGGATGCCGACGTCACCGCCGGGCAAGTAGGACAACTCTCCATATACTTCGTATAGTCGAGCTAAAAAGTAAACTATTTTCAACAAGCTAACTGTAGCCAAAATTTGTAAAGAGTATTGAAGTTAAGTATAAGGATTTTAACACAGCAACTTTATTTGTGTTTTTTAATTCTTTAAAATAATAAAAATACATGTAAAAATATAATTAATTTTAAAATTATATTTACAATGTACATGCAAATATACATGTTTTACAGACATATTTATTTATTTGCATCAAACACTTAAAGTATGTTGAATTGCATTTTTTATATCTCCTTCATACAGTCAAAAAGATTTATCACATTGTTTGAAAACTTTATTATCTCACTTTCAGACTGTATTAGGAGAATCCCTGTCATATGTGAGCACATTCTTAAAAGGTCCCTTGGAAAGTCACATATGACAATTTCAAATTACATCTGTGCAAGATATAATTGAATTATGAAAATTCTATGATCATATCATTTTTCCATTTTCCTCACTTTACTAATGTCTTAACATGGACTTATTTATGCTGAAGAAAAAAAATCCTACCTCAACTTTCTGACGCAGTTCTGCACTTCCCTTCATTGAAGCCATCTGTGCCTTTGCTCCCTAAAATATAAATGTTGATATTTTCTACAATTTTTTTTGATATTTATCCATTATACTTAACAGTAAAATATATACATGTGCTTAAAAATTACAAATGCTATTACAATAATGCTTTTAATAGACCCTAGAATTTTTACTTACAATTTTTCAACATAAAATTTCCTGAAACATCCAATCAATTTCTTTAAATGTCAAAAAAAGATAATGAAAAGTTACAAATAAAAAGCATGTATTAAATTTTTTTACAATTACATAATTCCTATTAAATCATTATACATGAACCTTCTTAAATTAAATTCGACCATAGAAAGTACTAGGATGAGCTAAATCTTGAAAGAAGGAGCTTAATCTTGAAAGTAGGAGGTGCATCATCTTGAAGGAGGTCTTAAATTTTGAAAGAAGGAGCTAAATGTTCAAAAGGAGGAGCTTAATCTGTCCTACCTCTTTTTCTAGCTGTTGTCTTTCTTGTACGTCAACCAGTTGCTGTTTAAGGGTTTTCAGTTTCTCAGTTTCTACTCGGAGTTGTTCCTTCAGTTTATGTATAGCAGTTACCAGAGCTTTATTCTCCGCCTCAGATGCTTTACCTGAAGGTATGAGATGTTTTGAATTTACAATTATGATAAAAGTAGGTACTTTAACAATTGCTAAAGTTTTTGTTTCCAATTAAATAAATTGTTTCCAATTAAATAAAGCCGAACTGATGTCAGTCCACAGCACATGAAAATACAGAACATAATAATCATAAGATATATGGCAAGATGGATTAAAAATTTCCACACAATATTCATTAACATATGGCTAGGTCTATTATATTTAGCAGCTGACAAAAAAATCTTGAATAAATATCTTCTTTTTATATCAGAAAAAGCTTAAAGAACAATACATATATTTGATCTATAAGATTAACAATATCACTACAATATATACATGTACATAAAATACAATAACAACATTTAACAGGTACAGTGAACAGTATTCATGTGAAATATAGCTTGTTTTTTTTATTATTTATTCACGGCCATTAATGCACCTGTAATTACAGCAGAGCCATAGCCTGTATGACACACTACACAGATATATTTCAGCGCAAGTATGCTCTTTGAAGAGTGAGGCGATTGCTGAAGATGATGATGATACGAACCCCGTCATGACAAAACCAACATAATGGGTTTGCGACCAGCATGGATCCAGACCAGCCTGCGCCTCCGCACAGTCTGATCTGGATCCATGCTGTTCGCTTACAAACCCTATAACAAGTAGAGAAACTGATAGCGAACAGCATGGATCCTGATCAGACTGCGCGGAGGTGCAGGCTGGTCTGGATCCATGCTGGTCGCAAAGCCATTATGTTGGTTTTGTCATGACGCGCCTCATACAATGACTTAAAATCCATCATCAGCAGTCGTGATCATTTCACTTTACAAGTCTTAAGGTAGATCATAGTTTAGTCATACACTATTAAGTTACGAGCTTTTAGTTTTCAACTACATGTATATAGTTTCACTTGCTTTGCCACTCATGTGGTGTTACTTCTGTGAATATGTTTCGATCTCACATTGAAATACCCTCTAGAAATACATGTAAGATAAAGTGATATGCAACAATATTTGTACTCTTTGTGCAGCCTAATACTTACGTGTCTTTTTATCCACTTTTTTATCAGATCTATTCATTTTCTCAACTAAGAAAGTTACAAAGTACTATGTAAACGCATACAAAAATCTGGTGTGCATTATCTTATATCATGCAACAAGTTCAGTAAATAAAGTAGTATAGGTAAATGTAAATAATATTCTATTTATCATATACTCATCGTAATTAGAACAGTTAACAGTCAAAAATAATCTTTATTATTCATGCAGTCATACTTTAAGGCTCACATCTAGCATGACTTCACTTCAGTGCTATTTTTCTGGTCCTTCAGGATCATTGATTCCAACACATTAAGTGTTCAAGATTAAGTACAACTCAAGCCAGTGCTAGGGGGCTTGAGGAATGTTCCGCTTTTTCCTTATCCCTCATGTACAGACTCAATCAAACAGTCCTCAATTTTCATGTAATTTTGCTGATTCTAATGCTTCAGAGGGATCACTTTTCTTCAATATATTTTTACACTTTTTAAAAAATTGATGTTACATCAAAATATATGTTCATTCAGGACATGTCCATATTAAAAACCTTATGTATGTGATAAAACACCTCAATTAACTCAAATTTCAATGCTGTTACTTTAAGTGAAAAACCATTGGCTCTCTATTTCCAATCATATATTGAAATATCTTTATCCCTTTCAACAAATGTATCAACCCCATAACTAATCAAGAACTTCTCACCTTTTTCAGCAAACTTTGAGTACTGTGCAATCTTATTTTGTAATTCAGCTTTAAGTTTGTCTACAATGGCGCGTTTCTCCTTGTATGCCGCCATTATTTGATCTTTCTCTTTCTGTAACATCTGTACTTTCTCTTGCAGCTCTTTACTTCCCTTCTTCATGTTGTCAGTCACCCACTCTAATATACCCTGAATTTAACAATTTAATATACCCTGAATTTGACAATTTAATATACAATTTAACATAACATGAATTCAACAATTTAATATAATCTGAATTTAACAATTTGATATACTCTGAATTTATTTTATATCTTATACTCTGAATTTAATAAAGTAATATATCCTGTATTTATTTATATGATAAACACTGACTACATTTATTTAGTAAACTCTGAATTAAACAATTTAAATAACTCTGAAATTAACAATTAATATTACTCTAAAGTTAACATTTAAATATACCCTGAATTTTACAATTTAATGAACCCTCAATTTAACAATCTTAATTACTCTGAATTAAATGATTCAATATACCCTTAAATTGTTAAATTTGATATTATTTAACGATTATATTTTGTCATAACATCACTGTTTTGTGATATTATTAAAAACTTTTCCTATGGGTGGGTGATATAATGTAAACTTTTCACCAAAGTGGGATGATATAATTAAAAGACTTGAACAAAACCATGATGATGATGCCGACATGGACATCACCCAAGTGAGTGTATGACTAGTATAAAAATTTTGTTAAACTCAAAATACCTTTCACCGAAGTGGGATGATATAATTAAAGGACTTAACCACAAGCATTCTGCTGATGCAGACATGGACATCACCCAAGTGCATATATTACTAGTATACAAATAACATTGTTAATCTAAAAATACCTTGTTTGCCAGATTCACTTTCCGCTCCTCCTCAAATCTCCCAGAAGCCCTCTGTTTCTCATCCCAGGTCTGCTTCTTGGCAATCTGCAAGTCCTTCACCAGGTCCTATACAAGCAATCAATCATGAAGTATTTTAAAATATGTACATGATTATGGCTGTAAAATCACATGCCCAATCACAATATAAATCTATTTAAAAAAAAAAAAATTTTTTAGATATCGTTTTTCCTAGTTTCAAGAAATTTACTGAAGTTTTAGGAATCACAGCAAAAACATTTAGTTTAATTTTCCAATCTTAAAATAAAAAAAGATCTTAATCATATTAATTTTGAATGTGGAGTAACAATAAAACTAATTTTTTCTATATCCATACACTGAACTGACCTCCATTTTGAGAACATCTTCCTTGCTAGGTTCCGATGTGGAAGCAATTTTGTCCCTCAATTTACCAATCTCTTCCCTCAGGTCAGCAATTACTTCATTAGTTTCGTCCTGAAGTGTATAGTTAATACAGTTTATGCATAATAAACAAAAATTGAATAAAAGCAATATTTATATTATATACATTATCAAAGATATAGTCAAATTGGTAAATTTACTACTGAATCAAACATGGTTTCTAAAATAATAATTAACTACTGTTAGAATACTTAATTTTGTGGGCATGAAATTACGTGGTTTTGTCAAATAAAACATTTTCATGAGTTCTTAGATTTGTGGACTGTTTATTTTTCCAGAAGGTAAAATGTAAATAATGCAATGCAAAATAATCTTACACCAGACGAAAATGAAATTTTATTGAATCTTAAATTGGAAGACTGACCTGTCCATGAAAACAACAAAATTAGTTCCTCACAAATAATAATGACTTTACAGTATTTGGAAATTTTGGAATATCTGGATAAATGAAAAGTGGGGATGTTAAGTGGTACTACATGTATGTAGTGGCAGTGGATTTTTATTATACATCAATTTCTTTGGGGAAAAGAGTTTAAACCTAAAAACTTACCAAGTTTAACTTGACCCTGTTTTTCACATTCTTTGCAAACTGAGCAACTTGCATAGTGTTTGTGTTTTCCTGGCCTGATTTATCTAGAGGAGATACCAGGGCAAACAACAAACTGATAGCATTTCCTCCAAGTGACTCCTAAAATATATAATAATACCTCCATGGTTAACATAAATTGACCTGCTTTAAAATGTCAAATAATCAACCCATGAACTGAATTTTAAGTAAAAGAACTGTATACCCTCCTTCTGTTTCATTTTCAGTTTAATTGATACTATGTTACGAAAAGCTGAACTTGTATGTATTGCACATAGGTACATATTTTCTACCTACTTTACTCATGATAAATTCAGAAATTAATCAGAGAAAAGTATCAATAAAATGTAAAAAATGTTTTCTTAAACATGGTATGTTATTAAAATGTATTCTTAAACATTGTATGTTATTAAAATGTACATATCACTCTAAAATATATGCTTTAGAAATTCATATTCCTTTTTTCTCCTGCACCCACCTTACTTTATATATGTATAAAATTAAGACAAATATGAAGATGATCACAATCAATATCTAAATGTTACCTGAAGATATCTTGTAATCTTAGAATCCCTGTAGGGAACCCCACTCCCCTTTCTTGGGCCTCCTAGAGCCATCAACACATTCTGTAACCCCTGAACTCTGTAATAAACCCATTTTGCATTAGCCTCAAGAAATTCTTAATATATGTATGTGAGAAAAATTGTTTGCCAAATTGCTCACATCCACAGCCATATTTAATTATTTAACAATTTAATTACAACATTTTGTGAACAGAAATTATGAGAAGTGATCTTGAGGTCCCAATTCTTGTATTTGAGACCTATCATAGGCAATGTTAATATCTTTGTGGAAGAACTCAACGTTTTGCTTCCCTTTATCCAGATACCGAAGAGGGTAATGTAAGTCTGTAATGACACAAAATGACCCTACACAGGCAGAGTAACACACTCAAGTAAATAGATTCTAGAAGCCAAATGCTATGTCTTTTGACTTGAGGAAATAATTTGTATAGTTGGTGCTGTTGCATTTGTGTTGGCTTAAATAATAGAAATAAACCTACCCTGCTAGCACTTCTGGATCAGACAGACCGCTGGCATTGTTTCCTAAAATAAAATCAAGTTTACAGGGTAACTTTCAAATTAACATTTAAAGCTGGAAAGTTGCAATACAGCATAAAAATGTTAGTATAACTTTAAATCCAATGAAATATTCCTGATGAAGGTACAGAAAGTACTGTAACTAGTAGAATCTTTAACAAAATCAGTTAAGCTGACTTTGATGTCTAACATGTAGTTACTCTTTATACCCTTACATCAGTTCAAATAAAAAGAAGTAAAAAAAAATAGTTACCTGCACAGTCCACCATGTGTAACACTGATCGTACGCCAACTTTACTGGACTGCTTCTCTCTCTGCTCAATTATTACAGTAAACACTGCATTAGCCCTGGAAAATATATGCTTATAAGTAAAGTATAGCCAGTCAAAATACAACAAATAGAGATTAAAATGATTAAACCACATTTAGACTAGAAACTGCATCTCCCAAAAATAAATTTTGTTTTTATATAAAGACACCTTCTCATATGAAATAAAATTATGTAAGCTTAATAATTGGTGTAGGCAATTTATTATTAATGCTAATTTGATTTTTCTTTCAATGTCAAGCTGTATTCTAAAAAAAAAAATTAATGTGATTAAGTGATTTTTTTTTAAAAAGGTTGAATATAGGGTTAACGCACGTTTTTCCGTGTTATAACGTCTGCAGAGTCCCGAGGAATGGTTGGTGCCCGAGCCCGGTAGGGCGAGGGCTCCAACAGTTCCGAGGGACTCTGCAGACTTTATAACACGAAATAAACGTGCGTTGACGCCATTATAGCATAAAATTTTCAAACAGAGTCGTGATGTATAGTTTATACAAAACACAATTACATTAATTCTTGTGCTTGGACGGTATTTATCCAATTCTATGTTTTACGTATGCGTTTCATTTTTCCGGGGCCAACAATTTGGAAAATTCTCGGAACCAAACGAAATTTTGAATTTTAATTGATTTAACAAAGCTTGGCCTTTGGAGATTTATTATCTCAATACAAAAAACGTTACATTACTCTACCCAAGACAAAATATGACCCTCGGAAATTCTTAGAATGATTTCAGATTGACGGTAGAAAAAGATCAGTGACATCAGAATCGGTTTTTCTTTTCAAGCAAACAAGTTTACAAAAAAATCAGGCATTAAGCATTATTCTCTCAAAGAAATATAAAGAGCATTTATCAACATAAACATAAATGAAAAACATTTTCTCATATAAATTTTGTGTTATCTAGTTTTGTAAGTTAATCGGAGTGTTAAACTGAATGACAGGTAGATATTCTACTGTATTTGTTTACATTGACAACTGTCCGTTTCTTGGATAGGGCAACAACCAAGATTAGCACCGATGTCTATACGCCGTTTTTCCGGCATAGTTACTTGAATATGTGACTGAAGCCCTCGAATCAATAAATTTCAATATAACAAGAGCGCATGACTCTTTGGCAAACAGGCCAAATCGTCATTGTTTGTTTACTGTGCCCTGTATGTATTGCGCATAGGTGAAACCGGGCTATAACAAAGCGCGTGACTATGTTAACACATGGTTTTGGTCCCGTTATAACATGGGCAAAAGAGTGAAAAATAGCCGATTTTATGCTATAATATCTAAAAAAAGGAACTTTATATTGCTGGAAAAAAATTCCATTGAAAATCTTAATTCAAAATGGCTTACCTATAAAAATCAGTTATACCATAAAGATTACCAAAATCAATAATGGGCATGTTATATTAAATCAATGCTCTCTTGCAGTAGTTTAAAAAATTATGCCACCATTGTTAGTTACCTGGGTCTATGTGACCTCATGTCAGTGGCACCCATTTTCCTGGCCCTGGTTCCCTGCTCAAAGTATTGCGCAATCTCATCAGCACTCTTCACAATAATCTCAGACAGTCCATCCACAAAACTGTACCGTAAATATAAAGTAATTACAATGATAACAAACATAATATAAGATCTTTTTTTAACACAACACTATAGATGATAAGTTTATTAAAAAAAAAATCTTACTAAAAAGTTAATTAATTTCAAGTCTGACAAAATCACGCTACAGAAAAACAAGCCCTGATGTTTGTTTGCCTGTTTGTTTCTTATGCAAATTTTAATATTTTGTGGTTTCTCTGTGGTTGGTCAAGCTTACTGGCTTTCCTGGTGAACTAACCAGTTATTACCAATTTCTATACTAGTGACCGATAACTCATTTTTAGCCAGTTTTAAGAGTGAAATGATCATTAGACTCGATGCCTGAGATAAATTGTCAAGAAGAAATTTCGCCTATGCTAAAGATCAATCCAGTGACCCCGTGATTGCATTTGTTAATGTCCCTATTAAGCTAAGTGGGTTGTCCCTATAAAGCTAAGTGGGTTGTCCCTATTGAGCTAAGTGGGTTGTCCTATTGAGCTAAGTGGGTTGTCCCTATAAAGCTAAGTGGGTTGTCCCTATTAAGCTAAGTGGATTGTCCATATTAAGTTAACTGGGTTGTCCCTATAAAGCTAAGTGGGTTGTCCCTATTGAGCTTAGTGGGTTTTCCCTATTGGGCTAAGTGGGTTGTCCCTATTAAGCTAAGTGGGTTGTCCCTATTAAGCTAAGTAGGTTGTTCCTATTAAGCTAAGTGGGTTGTCCCTATTAAGCTAAGTGGGCTGTCCCTATTAAGCTAAGTGGGTTGTCCCTATTAAGCTAAGTGGGTTGTCCCTATTAAGCTAAGTGGGTGGACTCAAACTTGTTATAAAGGTAAATATAATATTGTATGAACGTACATTCCTTTTGTTGGGTGCTGTCTGATGTTCATGGTGTTAGTGTGAGGATTCAACAAATCTGTCATTTTCTCATCTACAATCTGTAAATTAACATCACCAAAATCATCACAGAATAATGATATTTTTTTGTGTACTAGTATTTAAACAAGTTACAAATTATACAGAATCACTCGTTATGTTCACATTCACGTATCAAGATAACAATAATGTTTAAAGAGCAATGAATTGATACTTTACATTTATTTTTAACATTTATATGTTCACATAACAATATTTTTATCAGTGAAATGACATAGACAGATATCAAAATGTACTCAGAATTATGTTTTTGAACATTGCTAGATTTGTAAAGCGAATAACAGATCTACATTATGATTTACAATGTTATTTAATTAAAATAGTGTAAATGTTCTAAAAACAGCATTTTAGAAATGTTCTTACAGCAAAATTGGTAAACATGTTCACAAACAGTTCTGTCAAATAATTTTTGATCAAAAGTAAAATAAGCAGAGGTCATAACATTATGCAAATTACTTGTACATTTGTGTTTCTAATAATAACTTGAAACAACACAGATGCCAACACATACTACAGTTTTGTCAGTTTAGAGATGGACACGGTAAAAGCAGGACAGTGGGATGGGCAGACAAGTTCAAATCTGTATGCTTCCTCTTTAAGTGCTGGCATAAAAATAGTGCCGGAATTTTGCAACAACTTACTTGCATATTTGCAGATCATCTACAGAACACAAACCCTAAGAACTTAAACCCTTAACCTGCTGTACTTCTTAAGAGGACTTGAACAGCTTAATTTTTTTAGCTATTCATTAATTTTGGGGATATCAAAATTAAAATTTTAAGTTAGCCCGCTGGGTAAGGCTTAATAGGAAAATAGAACAAGCATATTACCTCCACATAAGAAACACTTATCATGAAATCCTTCCCACCTTGTTTGCTGGCAATCTCAAAAAGACTTCTGTTTGCCTATATAAAACATCAAAACAAGATTGTATCATATTGTTATTTCACAATGAAAGTAAGGCATAAAGCATAGTTTATGATAAGGCCTATATCAGGATCAAATGATCAAGCTTAATTTGTTGGAGGAAGACCTTGGTGGCCCCTCTTTGCATTATTTCAGGCATAAATGAACACCTAAACAGAATCACTTATATAAAATATGCTAGTTGGATATATTCAAAACTCCCTTATAGGATTTGAACATTCAGTGGCAACCTGGCAGTGACTCACAGTTTGCCACCTAAACCACTCATCTACAGAGGTCCTGAGGTTTATCAACATAGAGAGATCAAACAATGGACATGATTTTGACATACTTTTCTGTAACATAAAATTAATCCATACATATTGCAATGATTAAAAAACTTGTCTACTTTATTTTAGCATTTCAAGATATGTCAAGGAAAGACATTCCATAAAAACTTAAAGAAAAATTTAAGACTTACAGATGGTATCATGCCAGGGTCATCGTCTGTGCCGGTCATCAACATGCTTTTACCGGATCCTGCCTGTTAAATGGGAAAAAAAATACCCGTCAGGTCCTTCTTCAAACACATAAACCAAGAAATAACAAAGCTTACTAAATCCTCCTGTTTCAGTGACAAGAAAACAATCACTCCTAACAGGAACAAATTTCTAATTTTCAGGATTTAAAAGTGGATAAATCAATATTTTAAATGCTGCATTAAGTTAAACATTTCTTAAGGTTAGCAGGTCTTGATAAATACAGTGATCTTTGTTGAATCGGGGGAAAAATAGTAATTTTGCATTACTCATCAATCTAAGTAAATTTTGTTTCGGTTAGGATTTAAGACACACCAACACTTTCGAGGTTATATGGTGTCTTACAAGCTGTTCTGGTGAAGGAAGAGATGCATTTTTTCTGGCACAAGCCAGCACCTAAGTAGAACCACTGACAGCCTTTAAGCTAGTTGGATAGTTTTCTTACATGAAAGAATTTTAAGTCTTAATAGGATTCTAACCCACGGTTGCTATTTGCCAGCAATTTCCTAATCAGCCACTGTATCCACTAGGCCATGGAGACCTCTCAAAGTAAAGGTAAAAGATAGGATTTTAATGACCAATTTTCTACGTAAGGTACATGTATTAATTAGAAGATGTACAGTAAATTTATCAAAAATTTTGCAAATCCTGATCAAGGACATATTGTATTTATTATCTTCTATACAATATGGATGAATTTTTGACTGAAATAAATATAGAAACTTACAGCTCCAAAAGCAAGCACTGTGACATTATAACCTTCCATGGCTCTTTGTACCAATGGCTCAACCCTCTCCTTGTATATCTGGCTCTGAAAAAAAAAAATGCTATAGTCACTCAAATGTAACATTATAATGTTTGGAAATTGGATCACAACTGAATTTCTTGGGAATTCTATCATCATGATAATGAATTTAGAAAATAATAAATTAAAACTTTAAAATATTAATCAACAACAAAAAGAAACACTGTGATACAACATGAATGAAAATTTAACATGTTATAGAAGCCAAGCTGTTGTATAAATACTTGTTGTTTTATTGCTAAAACCTAATACTTATTTTTCTGTCATTTGAAATGGACTTAAGATTTTCATTTTATGAATGCATAAATGAAATATTTCTCTATACAAACTAACATTTCTGTACTCTGGTGGGTATGCGCCATCGCAGCTGAAGCTTTGCTCTGTCTGAAATTCAAATTAGTATTTTTACAGCAGATCTTCATGTATTACATATCAGCTTTCACATTTAATGTTAAGCAGTGGTTAAATAAGACTGAATTAATGTTTTATTTTCAGACAGATCTGGTTCGGAATCTATCATAATCAAGGGATTGCTTTTATAAAAGTCTGAATCTGAGATTATTTTAATAACTAAACAATAATAGTAATTAATTAATAAACATACAATAATCCAACAAATTAACCATCTGTCATAAGGTGTCAACAAATTAGTCATCTATTAACATGTCATGCCTATTATTATGAAATGTATAATGTATATGTATAGCCTGTCAATGTTTAAATTAATGTTCAGTCAATATACCAACACGATATAAGCTTTTATTTATTCACAAATACTTTGAATCTAGTTTTGATTTTCTACTTTTTACAGAGATCTTAACAATGATTTATACATGCTTAATTTGAAATAGTGTATATGCAGACATAAATACTTTCATATGTATTACAATATTGATACCAAATCTGCATAATATATGACATCAACAGTTACAACTCACATGTCTTTATAATTTTCCATTGCCCTAAATTTCAAGACAAGACAAAAATATATTAATTTAAATCATTTCCCTAGTATATGTTTAATAAAATTATAGACCCTGTGCATTCAATGATTTTCCACACCTACAAATAGATAAATATTGTACTAAATTACTCATATATTCATTTTAAAGAAAAATTCAAACCTTTCCACTTTGAACAATGACCTTGTCCCCAGCTACAGACACGCCCACTTTTGCACCTTTCTTGTTCTCTTCTGCTGTCAATGGCCTACACCTACCAACAACTTTGATACTGATTGACTCCGGCTGAAACACAGTAATTATAAATTCATTTGTTAGCATGAAAAACTGTACGACAGTGCATATAAATAAATTTATTTATACTTTTTAATTATGCAAACAATGAACAAAAAAACAGAACTTTTATAAATAATTTTCTTTTCACTCAAATCAGGATAAGAATTGTATAAAAAAAATCATAATCTAAATCTCTGAATATTATTTGGAGCATATTTCTGTATTATCCTTTGCAGATTTTCCCATTTAAAGTGTTCACTTAATCAGTCTTCGAAATTAACGCCAGTCTGAGGCCCGAGGCCACTAAATTTAGCATCGGTCCAGTGATTATTATAAGGTTGGTGGTCCAACAGGCCAGTAGATTTTTGGCCATGAAAAAATATTATAAGAAAAATTCATCAAAATAATGAAGCAGGGCTCTCTAAAAGATTGATATTTTTGCCTTTTTTGCAAATGAAACCAATCAATTCTGTCCTAAATGTTCAAAACACAGCGAGATATGTCTAAATTGTATTGAGTTATGGAGGCCGCCATTTTTTTTTTCTTGGATATTTTCTGTACCGCATCATACAGTTACGGAAATCAAACCATTGTTTATTATGGTCATTATTTAGCTATGATTTTGTGATTATTGAGTTAAGTAAATATTTTGTGTGAAAGTAATTTGTTTGAAGCAAAATGCGTTGTTCATGTTCAATGCTAGTCAATTTTGCCTAAACATTTGGTCCTTATAGATTTTTCAAAGCTGTCAACATATGGCCCAGAATACAGAAAGTATTATGCTTCTTTCAAAATTATCAAGGGAAGCATGATAAAGTGTTTTCCTTTACCCATCAATTTATTACCTATCTATGCATTAATTTTGGTCCGGCTAAAAATCACCAGGTCCAGTAAGATTTGAAATTTTACTGGCCCGAATGTCCTGTGCTTTTTAAAGTTTTTCGTGAAGACTGCTTAATGCAATAATCTATGAAAGGATTCAAAATTTAAATTTTCATTATATATATATAAGCTTTTTGACCTCAGTGTTACATAAAAGAAATCTAAAAATCACTTTATGTTAACATGTTATAATTATTTAATAATTTTGTTATGTATTTTTAAATTATATTATCATTGCAGTTTGTCCATGATTATGATTATCGGACTTGGGTCCTACTAAGGATGGGTAAGGACTGCTTAGGAGGCAAAAAGGACTGCTAACTTAAGGAGACATAAAAGACTTAGGTACATGTACTTGATATTGCTAGAATGGTATGTTTAAAACTAAGAAATTAATCTTAAAAAGAAAAATAAATTTTGCTGATATAAATTACAGGTATCTTTTCTATGACTAGTAAAAGGTATCAGAAAAAGTTTAACAGTTACCAAGAAGGCACAAGGGAGGTACAAAGTGCATTAAAATAGCATTTAAGACCTTGATAATGCTACAAAAAATGTAGTTGCCTAGTATAGTGCATTTAGTGCATGAAAAATAATTGTTCCCCTTTTTTTATAGAGTAATTTCATTGGTCGTATGAAATCCTCAGACCAATGAGAATACTGAATAAGAAAGTAAAGGGGAACAATCTGCTGCAGCAATTACTTTCGTTTTGGATTGAGCAGGCATCGGAAATTATTTTCATTATTTTCAGAGGATGTATATCTTCCAAATACAATATGCAGGCAACATTTTTCTACTCGTCCTGCATTGAGTTTTCTCAAATTCGACTCGTAATTACTAGCAGAAGAGTGGATTTTTTAATCTTTGTTGAGTATTTGACACATCGGAAAAAAAGGTCAATCAATGCACAGTGAGACTACTTTGGACTGAAAATTTATGGAAAAGTGACTTCTCCCTTCAGGATAAATAATATACGCTTAGTAAGCACTAAAATAATACGGGAAAGTCAAAGACTGGGTCCGCGAAGCGGGTCCGGGCTTTGACTTGCCCGGCTATAGACTACACGTGTATATTTAAAAGAAAATCAAATAAAAAACAATTAAAAAATATATTAATTCCAGGACTCGCGCTGGCAGGAGCCAATGAGCAAATTGGCTCCAAAATAATTAAATTGGCTCAAGAAAATCATGATTGGCTCAAAATTTTAAAAAGAATGACTTTAGGAATCTCTAGTCTAAATCTAGCATTGGATATTTTAAGAATGGAAAAATACATATTTGGTTTTTTATCTACAACTTCCATTTAACCACTTCTTATTTCAAAACATGTAAAACAGTCTACTTTTTGTGGGTTATTGACTGGTTTATATTTGTAACTTCCGTTCTGAACGAAATATTGATATGAACAGTAATACAGTCTAATACACTGACCTCAGGGTATGTTTACATGTTCATCAGCTGATAAATACGACACTAATTGGTGTGAAAAATACCTGTGGCAGATTGTTGAATATGCACTGGATAATTGGTCTTAATATTCAATATGAAACAATAACTAGTGGCATCTCAAGATTATTGCTAATAAAAAAATCAGCACTTTGGGTATGAAATGGCGACAAATTATGTTCTGCAGTTGGCAACTTGACCAGTAAATTTTATCGTTGTTGATAAACAGATCGAAGGAATTACGAGTTGATAGAGTTATTGTTGTTGATTATTTTTTTGTGGTGGTGGTTAGAAGGGATGTTATTGCCAATAAAATCCAGGGCCAAAACACCATTTTTGAGGAAGGGGTTTCGGCCTTTTTCTTGGGAAAAAAGGGGCCTCAAATTTAACACAAAATTTTAACAAGTTCTTCAAAATAGAAAAGCAAAAAGCAGTGGGAATGTTCTTCAAAAATGGACACCAAAAAGCAGTGGGAAATACGAATAAGGCTGTAAAAGACCTTATTTAATTTTGTTCTAAATTCTATGGGAAATTTCAAAAGACTGGGGGATTTTGAGGACCAAAATGGGGGAAAAAGAGGCTAGTTTGGTTGGGGAAGCAGGTTTTATTGGGCCACTACACTTAGATTTTAAGGGAACCTTGCTGCCTACATGTAACTTTAGGCAAATGTTATAGTTGCTGACCTCTAAGCTTAAAATTATGATTACTGACTGTAAATGATACTCGTATATGTAAGATTTGTTAATGTAATAAAATGTAGCTACCAAAATTAAGTTGGATATAGTTAATGCTTTTCTTAATATCCAATGCCACACCAAATAAAATACAGGCAGCCAATATTTGCCGCGAAAAATTGGCTCAAAGTAAAAAATTGCCAGTGCTAGCCCTGAATTCTATATCTATCAATGAAATTTTCAGTGTCAGTTCTAGTCGGGCGCCGCCATTTACAATGTAACTCAATGATAATAGGCGGGCAGTGATTTTTCTGCTTATATAAAAGACTCTGAAAAAGGGCCTCTTCCCAATTGAAATTTTCATTAAAATCATGCAGTTTTCCCAAAAATCTGAACTTAAACCTGTTTTTTTACTTCCCAAATTAGCATTTTTTGCGATAATTTTTCCCAAAATCAAGAGGCTAAGGCCTCTTCCCAATTAAGTGAGAAAAATCACTGGCGGGGTATTCCGATAATGGAAAAAATCTCAACTTTTCGGATAAATAATAAACGCCGAGTGATCTGAGTGAAAAACGGAAGCGGTGCATGTAATACCGAATGACACCTTTAAAACAGAAAGGATGAACGGAATTTTTTTAACGACTTCCCTGTTCATAGGCTTTGCCTAATTTCATATTATACGCTAAGTAAGCACGAAGGGCAAATCGTCACTAAAATGGTGCAAACGCTTAAAAAAGACAAAAAGTACCGTGGGCGAGTTGTTATGGGGTGAATTGTTATATTTCCTAATCAACCTTATCAAGAAATCAAGTCAGAGTAATTTCCGAGATTAAGGGTCATTAATGTCTCCACCGTTGTTTTAAGTAGGACCGTCTTAACCTAATTATGTCAAAGTTTGTTACGAAACGATAAGAGTGCGAAAGTTCAGTATGTGTCATGAAACGAAATCTATTGTTAAAATGCCAACTTAAATCATTATGTTAAACACTTATTTACTACACCAAGAAAAATGTTTGCATAAAAAAACATATTCACCATATTTTAGATCAATTCTAAGCCTAATAAAACGATTTTCTCCTGGAGTCCAGCTCCAAATTATTTGCCTAGGTACCCGTGTAAATACACATCAATTGATGACGTTTTACGCAGTACGTATGTAAAGAAGGGACGGTATACTTTGCAGACGACTTTGCAGACAAGTTAAACATAGAGGGATTTTGCAGACAAGTTAAATAAAGAAGGAATTTAGATTTTGCAGACAATATAGATTATATAGGGGGTGTTTAATCCCTTGTCAAAAGGTGTGAATGGGCAATTATATTGATTTAATACCATCTAGAAAGATCTATAATTAATTGCAAAACTTTATTTATTATTTGAAAAATAGTTTTAATGATGATTTTTTTTAAGAATAATTTATGCTTTTATAAAAAAATATAAGAATATAATTAAAAAAAAACATTAAGTAATTGCATGAGACAGAATATAATTATTATAACAAACAAACAATATTAAATAACTTTTTTTAAGTTAATACATAAAGTATAGACAGAATAGAGGTTGAATTTTGCAGACAAGTTAAACTAAGAAGGATTTTGCAGACAAGTTAAAATAAGAAGGATTTTGCAGACAAGTTAGATATAGAACAGAATATAAAATGTAAGGGGAATGTTAGAAAAATCAGTTTTTCGCAGCCAGAAATAATGTTGAATTTTGCAGACAAGTTAAAATAAGAAGGACTTTGCAGACAAGTTAGATATAGAACAGAATATAAAATGAAAGGGAATTATTTGAAAAATCAGTATTTCGCAGACAGAAATAATGTTGAATTTTGCAGACAAGTTAAAATAAGATAATCCCCTATCATTTCATATTTTGTTCTATATCTAACTTGTCTGCAAAATCCTTCTTATTTTAACTTGTCTGCAAAATTCAACCTTAATTCTGTCTGCAAAATACAGATTTTACCTTATAATCCCCTATCATTTTATATTTTGTTCTATATCTAACTTGTCTGCAAAATTCAACATTAATTGTGTCTGCAAAATACAGATTTTACCTTATAATCCCCTATCATTTCATATTTTGTTCTATATCTAACTTGTCTGCAAAATCCTTCTTATTTTAACTTGTCTGCAAAATTCAACCTTAATTCTGTCTGCAAAATACAGATTTTACCTTATAATCCCCTATCATTTTATATTTTGTTCTATATCTAACTTGTCTGCAAAATTCAACATTAATTGTGTCTGCAAAATACAGATTTTTCCAATAGTCACCTCAAATTTCATATTTTGTTCTATATCTAACTTGTCTGCAAAATCCTTCTTATTTTAACTTGTCTGCAAAATTCAACATTAATTCTGTCTGCAAAATACAGATTTTACCTTATAATCCCCTATCATTTCATATTTTGTTCTATATCTAACTTGTCTGCAAAATCCTTCTCTATTTTAACTTGTCTGCAAAAATCAACCTTAATTCTGTCTGCAAAATACAGCTTTTACCTTATAATCCCCTATCATTTTATATTTTGTTCTATATCTAACTTGTCTGCAAAATTCAACATTAATTGTGTCTGCAAAATACAGATTTTTCCAATAGTCACCTCAAATTTCATATTTTGTTCTATATCTAACTTGTCTGCAAAATCCTTCTTATTTTAACTTGTCTGCAAAATTTAACATTAAATTCTGTCCGCAAAATACAGATTTTACCTTATAATACCCTATCATTTCATATTTTGTTCTATATCTAACTTGTCTGCAAAATCCTTCATCTATTTTAACTTGTCTGCAAAAATCAACCTTAATTCTGTCTGCAAAATACAGCTTTTACCTTATAATCCCCTATCATTTTATATTTTGTTCTATATCTAACTTGTCTGCAAAATTCAACATTAATTGTGTCTGCAAAATACAGATTTTTCCAATAGTCACCTCAAATTTCATATTTTGTTCTATATCTAACTTGTCTGCAAAATCCTTCTTATTTTAACTTGTCTGCAAAATTTAACATTAAATTCTGTCCGCAAAATACAGATTTTACCTTATAATACCCTATCATTTCATATTTTGTTCTATATCTAAATGTCTGCAAAATCCTTCTTATTTTAACTTGTCTGCAAAAATCAACCTTAATTCTGTCTGCAAAATACAGATTTTACCTAATAATCCTCTATCATTTTATATTTTGTTCTATATCTAACTTGTCTGCAAAATTCAACATTAATTGTGTCTGCAAAATACAGATTTTACCTTATAATCCCCTATCATTTCATATTTTGTTCTATATCTAACTTGTCTGCAAAATCCTTCATCTATTTTAACTTGTCTGCAAAAATCAACCTTAATTCTGTCTGCAAAATACAGATTTTACCTTATAATACCCTATCATTTCATATTTTGTTTTATATCTAACTTGTCTGCAAAATCCTTCTTATTTTAACTTGTCTGCAAAAATCAACCTTAATTCTGTCTGCAAAATACAGATTTTACCTTATAATCCTCTATCATTTTATATTTTTTTCTATATCTAACTTGTCTGCAAAATTCAACATTAATTGTGTATGCAAAATACAGATTTTACCTTAAAATACCCTATCATTTCATATTTTGTTCTATATCTAACTTGTCTGCAAAATCCTTCTTATTTTAACTTGTCTGCAAAATTCAACATTAATTCTGTCTGCAAAATACAGATTTTACCTTATAATCCCCTATCATTTCATATTTTGTTCTATATCTAACTTGTCTGCAAAATTCAACATTAATTGTGTCTGCAAAATACAGATTTTACCTTATAATCCCCTATCATTTCATATTTTGTTCTATATCTAACTTGTCTGCAAAATCCTTCTTATTTTAACTTGTCTGCAAAATTCAACATGTCTGCAAAATTCAACATTAATTTGTCTGCACAATACAGATTTTTCCAATAGTCACCTCAAATTTATATTGTTTGTTTGTTATAATCATTATATACTGTCTCATGCAATTATTATTTTTTTTATTTATATTCTTATTTTTTTTATGAAAGCATAAATTAAAAAAAAAACATCAAATTAAAACTATATTTTTTTTTAATTAAATAAAGTTTTGCAAATTAATTATACTTTCTAAATGGCATTACTTCAATGTAATTGCCCATTCACACCTTTTGACCAGATGACAAGGGATTAAACATCCCCTATATAATCTATATTGTCTGCAAAGTCTAAAATCCTTCTTTATTTAACTTGTCTGCAAAATCCCTCTATGTTTAACTTGTCTGCAAAGTCGTCTGCAAAGTATACCATCCCTGTAAAGAACAAAAAGATCCTTTGACCGGAAAGTACAACAGAGTTCCACGGAAATCCCGCAGAAACCGCGGAAATTATCATTTCTTCATTGAAAAACAAAAAATCTGCTGGTCTTGACTCCATTACTAATGAAATGATTAAAGTTAGCCAAAGTTTTCTTTTGTCAAGTTTTAAAAAATTGTTTAATTGTATACTTTCAAGCGTGTTTATCCATCTTCATGGAAAGTTGGTTATATTAAAGCAATTCATAAAGGTGGTGATACTAATGACCCCAACTGCTATAGGGGTATATCTGTTATGCCATGTCTATCAAAGGTATTTAATTGTATAATGAATAATAGATTACAAAAATTTATAGATAATGGTATTATTAATGAAGCACAGATTGGGTTTCAACCCAATTCCAGAACATCTGTTTTTAGTGAAAACATTGATAGATTAATTTTTCAGCAAGGGAGCTAAATTATATACATGTTTTGTTGATTTTGCAAAGGCATTTGATAATGTTATTCACTCCCTTCTTTTGTATAAACTATGTAATACTGGTATATCTGGACCTTTTTTCAACGTTGTTAAAACATGTTTTGCTCAAATGTGATGCACATAAAAGTTGGTAATAAGTTAACAGAAACATTCTCTCACCAGATGGGGGTGCGTCAAGGGGACAATCTTAGTCCAAATCTTTTTAAGATGTTTATTAATGACTTGCCAGCTGTATTTGATAGTAGTGATGACCAAGTGTGTCTAAATGATGTAAAAATTAGTTGTTTGTTGTATGCAGATGATTTGTTATTGTTGTCAACTACACCAAAAGGTTTACAGAATTGTTTAAATAAGTTATCAACATTTTGTGACAATAATGGTCTTATAGTAAATCTTAAAAAGACAAGTATTTTGACCTTTTGTAAAAGTGGAAGGCTTTCTAGTGAGAAATTCTACTTTAAGGGAACTGAAGTAATTCATGTTAAAAGTTATAAATATCTCGGAATTATTTTTGCATCATCTGGTACTTTCAGTTACTGCCAAGATGATCTTTATAAAAGAGCACTGAAAGCAAGTTTTAAGATTAGTAAGATTTTTGGTCAGCTACACCAAAATGTTGATACTATCATCCATCTTTTTGATCATACTATTAAACCCATTCTTCTGTATGGTAGTGAGATTTGGGGTATACCAAATATTAGTAGTTCTATTGTTAAAAAAACAGATTATGTGTTGTTGAAATCCTTTGGAAATATGTCCTGTAATAAGATGCATGTGAAATTTTTAAAATATATTCTGGGTGTACACAAAAAAACATCAAATGAGGCAGTATGCGGTGAACTAGGACGGTATCCACTATTTATTGATGTAATATGTAGTTATGTTAAGTTTTATCAAAGACTGCTAAGTGGAAATGTTAGCAAATTACAATCTGCTGCCTTTATTAAAAGTCAAACATTATTTACGGATAATAAAGTTTGCTGGGTTTCTTGTGTACAACATTGTTTTAAGCATTTAGGTATATCTGATGCTGGTTTAACCAATAAGAACTTAGTAAATGTTGTTAAACTCAAGTTAGTGAAAATGTACCAAACCAAATGGTGTTTGAATATCTCAGGTACTGCAAGGGAAACTTAGAACATACTCTTTGTTTAAGCAAAGGTTTTGTAGAGAAGTGTACTTTAGACATATTAAGGACAAAGATATAAGAACTTTCTTCACCAAGTTTAGAGTAAGTAGACACAGATTGAATATAGAAACAGGCAGATATAAAAAGATCCCAGTAAATCAAAGGTATTGTAACTGTTGCTCTTCCAATCTTGTAGAAGATGAAATTCATTTTTCCATGTGTTGTACAAAATTTGATAGTAATAGAGAACTACTATTTAGACAAATTGAAATATCAAATAAGAACTTTTGTATGTTGAATAATAAGCAGAAATTTGTTTGGTTAATGTCCTCGGAAGACCCTAGAGTCTTGAATGTCTTTTCTAAATACCTACTCGAAATTTATAATAAAAGAAATCTTATGTTAGGTAGTACTATTAGTAATAAAAATTTGTCAGACCATTGAATGTATATTATTGTACTTGAATATCGAATGAGTAATTAGTGTGTTTTTTTTTAATACTGTTTTATTTATTTACTTCTTATTTTAACATTACTATGCCTGTGTTATTTGTTTTTCCAATAATACGAATTAAGCTTTAGTTACTTTATTGTCTTCATTTCTACCATACAATACACAATTTGTTGGTTGATATATTTTGTTACATGCCTTATGTTTTATGCTTGTGATTATATATGTCATATAGTATGACCCTTGATTGGTGAAATAAAATTATTCTATTCTATTCTATTCTATGGTTAAAACTTTTTGACGAAAAGCGACCATCTATAACAAAAATATGTAATACTTGTAAATCAAATCTTGAACTGAGGCAAAAATAAAAAAAACTGAAATTAAAATGTGTAAAAACATGTTAAAACTTGATGACAATGATCCGATGACAAATTTTCTACAAAAAATGTGTACTCCCACTTAAAATATTTTAAACAAGACTCCTGAAGTGTACAACCCTTAAAGATAAAATAAACAGACTATCTTAAATCAAACAATAAAAGGCCAATTTACTGAACAGACATGCCCATTCAGTGTTTTGCAGTACCTCCCCACTGTCTCTTAAGCAAACTTGCCTTATATAAACTCTTTTATCTTGACACCCCCTCCCCCATAAAAAATAAAACTAATAAATAAATAAAATAAATAAATAAATGAAATAGATAAATAAATAAAATAAATAATAGTGTTGATATTTCCAAATGGACGATATATCTGTCTACAAGAATGGGGTACTGAAACACCTGCAAAGACTGACAGTAGATCTTAAAGAACTGAGACATGAAAATCACAGACATTGTCACAATCCTTTCCAAAAATCACTTACTTCTGGTTTTCCTCTGACTGGACCAATGCGCTGTTTACAAAAATATAAAAGGGGACAGCACAGACAAGCTACATGTAATCTAAGCAGGCAACAGACAGATCTATTTCGCCTTGACATTAGCAGAAGTCTCCAAGCTTGAAATTCGCTTCTTTGCAAATGACACTGTGGTCTACATCACTACAATCTCTTCCTCGGACCCACAATCCTTGAAGTTTTCTAGTTTTCGGTTTGAATTTTCCTGATAATGTTTTTTTTAAAGCATGCACTATTCCTGCTTATGAAACTTGCCAGATGGGTTGGCAGAATAAAGAGATAAATGGATTTTAGACAACTTGTCGTCCATCATCCGTTATTATCATTTTTACTTATACGAAATTTCCTTCTTACCCGCTCACTAGTAGTGATGAAACCAAACAGGTATGATCCTTGGATAGTCCCCTCCCTCTAGAAAACGTTCAAATGGATCTAGATGGCCATCGAACTCAAAATAGAAAAACATTTAAACGGCACCTCTTCCTTAATTATTTTGTAGAATTTGATGAAACTTTACAGAATGATTATTAGAAATAGCTCAAATAGTTCCGGTCTGTTGAACAAGATGGCTGCCAATGCTAACAATAGAAAAACATTTAAATGAGATCTTATTCCTTAGTTATGTGGTAAGTTGAAACATTACAGGAATGCTCCTTAGATTTTTTTTTCATAAATGGTTCTGATCTGCTGAACAAGATGGCCACCAGAGCTAAAAATTAAAACACTTTTAAATAATAACTTTAACATAACTTAACTTTTCAGTTTATTTTTATGAAACTAAAATGGGATGATCCATGGAGAGTCATCTAGAATAAATTGCTCAAATGGTTCGATCCGGTCTGCTGAAAAAGATGGCCTTTTAATTCAGAGCAAAAATAGAATTTTTTTTAAAAAATCATTTTGTCCTAAACCGTCCATAGATTTTGATTAAACTGTGTAGAAATGATCATTGGCCAATCCTTTACTAAAGTTGCTTATATTGTTCTGGTGTGCTGAATAAAATAGCTGCAATAGCTAAAAATCTTTATCTACATCTCCTGCTTTGAAACCATTGGCTCGATTTTGATGCAATATACATAAATGGTCGTTGGATAGACTTCTATAAAATTTGCTCAAATGGTTTCGGTCTGCCGACCAAAATTGTCGCCAGAGCTAAAAATAAAAACTTTTAAAAAATCTATAGTCAACATCTAAAAGTAATGTTCAATTTAAATATACTTTGTGTAAAGACTATATAACGTATATAATAATATGAAAAGGTATCAATTCAACAAATTAATTCTTTTTATACACCAACCCCTGCATATTGAAATTTGTATAATTGATTTTCAACCAATGTCTTATAATCACTGGTGAAATTAGGGGGGGGGGGGATGAGTGCTAAAAATATAAGCGGCGAGTTGCAAACCTTCACTTATTAATACACTTATTTTGGTGACGTGACCAATCAACGCGCCGAACACCTGTGGTATTTATAATGCGATTTTGTTTATTTGAATATCTACTCAGGTGAACGATTGATGGCCATCATGGTCCTCTTGCTTTATGACTTTGTGCATTTTCGCGAAAAAAAATATTTCGCATTTTATGATGCTCTTCAACAAGGAGGAAAATGGCAACAAAAAATCCAAAAACCCCTTGCAAATTTGGTGGTAAATGTTACAGGAAAAACCCACAACATCTCCAGCAATTTAGTCACCCAAACAGAAATGATGATGAGGTATCTTTTTACATCCATTTATAAAGATGTCATTGTGATTATAATATTTAGCTGATTGTTTATTTTCCCGCCAGAAAAAGACAGTTTGTGTTGACCAAATCAACAGATCAAATCAAATCAAAATTTATTTATCATAGTTTATTGTCCGTATGCATATATAACGTTTCACAAAACGTAAGCTATGTATAGCTTTTGATCGACATACATGCATGTAATCATAAAACTCATAACTTAAGTCCTAACAAATTAATATGAAAAAGGCAAAGCCTCAAAGCGAGCTCGATGTACTTTTTACGTGAAATAGTATGAAATAATCGCTCATTTTTATTTCAAATGCAGTAACGAGTGCGTGTGACGTCACACGTACTGTGTTAAATATGGCTCCGCCCCTGTCGTGAAATGAGTAACGAGTTTTGAAAACGTTAATAAAACTTTGTTTATTTTATTTCACTCTATATTTTTCAAGCGAAATAAAGATTATTTAAAGTGAAATATATGTAAAACAGCGTACTTGATTTGTTTGTTTTGCACGTGCTGTTTGGCGCTACATTGTGACGTCACGTAAACAATACTTTAAACGTCTGTACAGCGTTAACGACTGAATAAAAGATATTGGTGTTCGGATTCATTTTCTTTGTCAGACCATTTTCTTTCATTCTAGATAGTTTTCACAACAAAATTCGACAAAAAATTGTTTTTATGTATCAGACTTCAAACAAAATGGCGCCTTCGATTTTCATTTTATCATTCAATATTTTATACACAGCTTCCGTTATTCTGGTTCCCTGTCCAATTATGGTTCCCATAGACGTGCGCGGGTGACCAGTCTACACCTCCGTTTTCAGTCAGAATTCCTCAGTTTTTATCGAAAGGTTGCGATGTGTCCAATTCGGTACTTTGGACGAAAGTTTTCAAAACCATCACTTAGCAGGTACTCGCGTTACCGTAAAGCTCGCTTTGAGAGCAGGCCCTTTGGGCCAGCTCGTCGAACTCGCTATAACAAGAAAAGCATTGATGCTTTGCATCAAAGGGCGTCCAAGCAAGAAATGCAGAAAGTGAAGATGAACTAGTAGACCTATGATGACAAGATATTCTGATAAACTTTTCAATGGTTAATTTGATTTTACCAGAATGAACGGACGAAAGACATTGTTCATTATGAACTTTGATTGGCATGCTAGAGATTAGAATATTACTTGTTATTTCTTTATGATCGTGATTATTAAAAGCAACGGATATACATGTATACCATCATTTATAATGCATATGTGTAACCAGTGTTGCATCTAGAATTTCAAAATTATGGGGGATTGTCCCCCACTCAATTGAAAAATGTGGGGGATTTGAAAAAAATGTGGGGGACATACATTGACCTAACAATATGACATACCGAATAGAGTTCATTTATTTTACATTCAGGCATTTTTGACAGCTATCGTCGCTCAAAAACGGAAGTAGAAAAAATAAAATATTGACGAATACTACAAAACACACGCGAGATGACTTAGTCGGCTGCTACACGCGATTTAGTACGTATTTTAGTCATAACCACGAATGAAAACAAACATTACGATACGATGAAGATAAAAAGAATTAAGTTGAAAAGATTGTTAGATGCGCGACTTGGCGCGCACTGACTTCAAGAAAATGCGCGATCTGCATAAAAAATGCGCAAATCGCGCAATCGCGCGGCCTAGATGCAACACTGTGTAACGCATGATCAACACCACACTTGTGGAATTGTCTCTTATTATGTTATCGCTATTAGCGAAGACCCTCTCTTAAGGTATCTGTTCACACTTAGTAAAAATATGACACTGGATATATTACCATGTTGATCATGTTGATCATGTTGAGTATAATTGTTTATTATACAATAATTGTAATATCTATGTTAATATAAAAAATACAGATTTTATGAATATTGTTTTCCTCTCTTTTTGTGTTTTATGTGCTATTTTAATATTGAGTTTTTACGTTTACTACTCTTTTTTTTTTATCAAAATTGTAAAATAAATTTTAAGAATTCAATTGTCATATTGACCGACGATTATAAGTCAAAACTTAACTGGAAAAAGTCAGTAAATTATGCTTAATCTTTCAATATATAATATTGTTTATTCTTAAACAATGTACATGTACATTTGTATTTTACTTTATCATTTTTTAAATTATCAATCAATTGAATAATTCATAAAATCTAATTTGTAACTTTGAATAATTCCTCGGCATCTTTACTAAACACGAATAACAAATTAAATAAAATGTTTCAAAGTTGATAGTGTCACATTAATACCATAAAATGTACCTTTTTCTCAATTATTGCACATATTTATTGTTTTTATCTCATATAGATAAAATGAAACATGCTATTGTTGTTGTTGATGTGACAAACATTCATTTTGGAAAAAAAAACTTATTTATCTGTAAAATAGTTGGTCTGTTCTGTAACGATATCAAACATCTACTCCAAAACCGGGAGAGACCGGACAATAAACGTGTGATTCACTAGTAAATCCCGGTCAAAATAGACCGGGAGAGACCGGGAATTACCAATAGCAGTACATCCCTCTATAAATAGATTTTCGGAATATTTAGGTCATCAACTCATCATTCTATTTTAACATACCATAATAACCCACTGTGTACTACAAAATGATAAATAAAAAAAAAAAAAAACAACAAAAAAACGAAGAGACGGAAAAGGTTATTTTATGCATTGCGAAATTCTCCAGTTCGCTATTCATTGTTTGTACATATCGAGACATTTTTTTTAATCACCGATCGGAATGATCGGCTTTTATTATGACTGACTAAAAGGCTCGAGAAGTTGCTGTCGCCCATTCACAAAATCTAATTTCATTCCATAAGGGCGCCGCGCTTCGGCGCGAACTCCAATCAGATAATGGTAGCAAGACACTTCACCCTCCAGACACTTCCATAGGTGTTCGGCGCGTTGATTGGTCACTACCCCCGCATCCCCCCTCACCCCCACACCCACTCTACAGCCCTCCTACCTCTCAAAACCATGTAAAATACAGTATTTTTCATTTGAAACATGTTTTAATATTTGGTTTATGCTTTTAATTCAATAACCTTCATTTCCTACAAAAAATAAAAAATTGATACATATATATTTAGTAAAGGTATGCAACTCGCCGCTCAATTTTCAGCACTCATCTTAATATGAACTCCATAACTTCAACATTTTTTCACCAATTTTCAATATTTTGGTACCAAATGGTAGGGAATTGATTACTCTTGAAGGAAATAAAGCTGTCATTACGATCATTTCAAGTTATCAGAAGATGTGTAATCTCAAACTCTAGTGTAGGACAAAAGCCCCCCCGGACGAAAGCCCCCCCTTCTAAAAATGACAAGGTGGACAAAAGCCCCCCCATGAAATTTCCACATAGACAAAAGCCCCCCCCCCCCCATAAAAAAGTAAAGGTAGGACAAAAGATAAGATGTGAGACAAAGGGCATATGATTCTGAATGCAAATTTAAGGAGTTATGCCCCTTGTAACTTAAATTTTATTTTGTCAAATTGCCTATTAAGTAGAATGATTCGAACAGTGTATGGTACTGATAGGAGACCACCAAAACCTGACAACCATCAAACATGGACAGCTTCAAAAACCCTTTGTTTAGTAAATTAGTTTTTTTTTGTTTTTTGTTCTGTGGTTGTTGAATGTCTTGTTTTCTTCTTCAGGGAGATGAACCGAAGTTGAAGAAAAGAAAAACTGAGACTACAGCAAAGGGTAAAGGAAAGACATTAGATGATTTCTTTGGTAAGAAGAAGGAAGACAAACAGAAGGTTCATGAAGTTAGTGATGAAGAGCCTGAGGTTGATGAAAGTGAAACAGACAAGGGGAATGATATACACGATGGTAAGAATATATAAAATGTCATTTCTCAAATGAGTAATAGTGATCTTTGAGTGCTTTATTAATTTGAAATAAGCACTTTTCTATATATAAAGAAAGTTTTTCATAGGTGATAGTGAATATTGACACTACTGTTTGTTTGTGCAGTGAAATTCCCTTAACAAGGAAAACAAGTGAAATGCTTATTATTGCTAAACTGCAGATATAGATCAGGAATAATCTGGATTATCGGTCTTTTTGTGTTTGGTACGTGTTGATGCTTGCTCTTGAGGTAATACATAAGTGTTAAGTCACCAAGATTTACGAGCACATCTGTGCCATCTGTTCTAACTGTACCGTATTTAGTCCTATTTGGAAACATATTTTGATATATAGCCTTAAATGATGAATGGTTTTGTTCAGCTTGAAAGATGGATATGTTTATTTCAGTTACTTGGCATAGTAAGGGTTAATTTCAATTGTAGATAGTGGAAATGAATCACATAGAGCAGAGAGTGATGACAGTGAAGAAGTAGATGAAGAACCTCCAGCATCACCTGAAAATGTCAGAGAAAATATTAAACAGAAGTTCCTCGTGGAAATGCCAGAAGACTTTTACCAGTTTTGGGACTTCTGCAAGTCAGAAAAGGCTGATAATCCATCAGGTACTAAAACCTTGTTTACCCTTTTTAAATTTGATTACAGCCAGCCCATTCTTATTCAAGGTGTTGTTTTTTAGCTCAACTGTCACAAAGTGACAGGGTGAGCTTTTGTGATCACTTTTCGTCCGGCAACCATCCGTCCGTCGTCCATAAACTTTTACTTTAAATGACATCTCCTCATAAACCAATAAGCCAATTTCATCCAAACTTCACAGGAATGTTTCTTTGGTGGTCACCTTTGAAAATTGTTCAAAGAATTTAATTCCATGCAGAACTCTGGTTGCCATGGCAACCAAAAGATAAAACTTTAAATATCTTCTTCTAAAAAACTCAAAGAGCTAGAGCTTAGATATTTGGCATGAAACATCTTCTAGTGAGTGTCTACCAAGTTTGTTCAAATAAAAGCCCTGGGGTCAAAATTGGCCCGGCCCCGGGGGGTCATTGAATTTCCCTATATGCATATAGTAAAAACTTAAAAAATCTTCTTTTAAAGAACTCAAAGAGCTATGGCTAAGATATTGAGCATCAAACATGTTCTAATAGGTGTCTACCAAGTTTGTTCAAATAAAAGCCCTGGGGTCAAAATTGGCCCCGCCCCAGGGGGTCATTGATTTTCCCTATATGCATATAGTAAAAACTTAAAAACATTTCTTTTAAAGAACCAAAAGAGCTAGAGCTAAGATATTTAGCATGAAACATCTTCTAATGGGTGTCTACCAAGTTTGTTCAAATAAAAGCCCTGGGGTCAAAATTGGCCCCGCCCCAGGGGGTCTTTGATTTTCCCTATATGCATATAGTAAAAACTTAAAAAAATTTCTCTTAAAGAACCCAAAGAGCTAGAGCTAAGATATTGGCATGAAACATGTTCTAATGGATGTCTACCAAGTTTGTTCAAATAAAAGCCCTGGGGTCAAAATTGGCCCAGCCCCAGGGGTCATTGATTTTCCCTATATATTCTCGAACCCCATGAGACCGGTGACTCCACGGTACCGGTATACTCACAAATCTCGCGATATTTTTCTCAACACCACCTACCGAGTGTTTATATTGACCTGCTCCCAGTAATATAGGCTATTTCAAAGTTTTTAAACATTTTCATGAGTTTCTGAAGGAAATATTTCACATATCCTACCTTATTTTTATTTTACTATCCTATTTTTCCATTGCATAAATTAGTCTCTCTACAAAACACATTTTTTTTCCAAGAAAATAAAAAATGACAGGTGCTGAGTCATTCAACCTCCAGTACATGTCACTTGACCTTTTGACATCATTTTTGGCGGGAAAAAATTAATCTATGGAAAGCCATTAGTGCATATAAAATAGTTTATGAAAATTAAAAAGTCAGTTTCATTCAGTCTTTTAAGGGAGCCTGTGTAAAGTACCATATTGATATTTTATCTTCATCATATAGAAATAAAATTGATTCAATGATACAAAAGGACCAGACAATCACAACAACACTAAAATTAAGTGAAGGGGAATTTTTGAATCCAGCCACATGGTATAATATACACCTGTAATTGGGAGGAAAAGGTTCTAAAACAGAGATCCCTTGGGAGTCATTAAAGATGAACAGTAAATTATTGAAACACACGTTTTTATGTTGTTTTAACGCGTTTTTTTTTTTTTCAGATATGAATACAAGAATGCTAAAATGATATTTTTGCTATTAAAACTGCAATGGCTTTCCATAAAAATAACATCTTTACCAGTGCACCGGTAGCATAAAGTCTGTTTAACTACGTCATACAAAATGGTCGACCATTGTTTACATTCACAATGAGCGAGAATTTCAGAGTAACAGAACTCTGTAATGTAATTTTAAGAGGATTAAATGTTAATGAAGTTGTTTATTCCTTCTTTTTTTCAAGTCAATAAATTTTTATATGAAAAACACCTAGTATAAAATATGTACACTGGTACCGTGGAGACCCAGGCTACATGTAGTAAAAACTTAAAAATCTTCTATTAAAGAACCCTAAGAGCTAGAGCTAAGATATTAAGCATGAAACATCTTCTAATGAGTGTCTACCAAGTTTGTTCAAATAAAAGCCCTGGGGTCAAAATTGGCCCAGCCCCAGGGGTCATTGATTTTCCCTATATACATGTAGTAAATACTTAAAAATCTTCTTTTAAAGAACCCAAAGAGCTAGAGCTAAGATATTTAGCATGAAACATCTTCTAATGGGTGTCTACCAAATTTGTTCAAATAAAAGCCCTGGGGTTAAAATTGGCCCCGCCCCAGGGGTCATTGATTTTCCCTATATACATAGAGTAAAAACTTAAAAATCTTCTATTAAAGAACCCAAAGAGCTAGAGCTTAGATATTTAGCATCAAACATGTTCTAATGGTAGTTTACCAAGTTTGTTCAAATAAAAGCCCTGGGGTCAAAATTGGCCCCGCCCTAGGGGGTCATTGATTTTCCCTATATTGCATATAGTAATTAAAAACTTAAAAATCTTCTTTTAAAGAACCCAAAGAGCTAGAGCTAAAATATTTAGCATGAAACATGTTCTAATGGATGTCTACCAAGTTTGTTCAAATAAAAGCCCTTGGGTTAAAATTGGCCCTGCCAGGGGGAGGGCGGGGGGGGCAAAAGTCATTGTTTTTCATTATTTGTGTATAGTAAAAACTTAACATCATGAAACATCTTCTAATGGGTGTCTTCCAAGTTTGTTTAAGTAAAAGCCCTTTGTTTTAAACTGGCCCCGCCCTGGGGGCCTATGTACAGGTGAGCGACCCCAGGGCCATCATGGCCCTCTTGTTTTAAAAAGGCATAAATGTAATTATGAAACTGTACATTGTAATACATACATAATATTGGACAGTTTTGGTTTTATAAAAAAAGATGTAATTATATCTATGACTTGTAATATAAAAAAGTCTCGAATTTTCCAGAATTCTATTGAGAGACCACTTTATTAAGAGACCACTTTCTGGCAGTCCCTTGAGTGGTCTCTTAATACAGTGTTGACTGTAGTAAAAACTTAAAAAATCTTCTTTTAAAGAACCCAAAGACCTAGAGCTAAGTTATTTAGCATGAAACATCCCCTAATTGGTGTCTACTAAGTTTGTTCAAATAAAAGCCCTGGGGTCAAAATTGGCCCCGCCCCAGGGGGTCATTGATTTTCCCTATATGCATATAGTAAACACTTAAAAAAATCTTCTTTTAAAGAACCAAAAGAGCTAGATCTAAGATTTTTAGCATGAAACATTTTCTAATGGATGTCTACCAAGTTTGTTCTAATAAAAGCCCTGGGGTCAAAATTGGCCCGCCCCAGGGGGTCATTGATTTTCTCTATATGCATATAGTAAAAACTTAAAAAATCTCCTTTTTAAGAACTCAAAGAGCTAGAGCTAAGATATTTAGCATGAAACATGTTCTAATGGATGTCTACCAAGTTTGTTCAAATAAGAGCCCTAGGGTCAAAATTGGCCCCGCCCCGGGGATGATTGATTTGCCTTATATGTGTATAGGAAAAACTTAAAAAATCTTCTTTGAAAAAAAAACAATAGCTAGAGTTTAGATATTAAGCACGAAGCATCTTCTAGTGAGTGTCTACAAAGTTTGTTCAAATAAAAGCCCTGGGGTCAAAATTGGCCCCGCCCCAGGGGACATTGATTTTCCTTATATGTGTATAGCAAAACCTTAAAAATCTTCTTTGAAAAAACCCGAATAGCTAGAGTTTAGATATTAAGCATGAAACATTTTCTAGTAAGTGTCTACAAAGATTGTTCAAATAAAAGCCTTTAATGGGTCAAAACTGGCCCTGCCCCAGGTGTGTCATTGTTTTTAACTATATGTGAAAAGAAAAAACTTGACCAGCTAGACCTTAGATGTTTAGCATGAAACATTTTCAAATGGGTGTCTACCAAGTTTGTTCAAATAAAAGCCCTGGGGTTTAAACTGGCCCCGCTCAGGGGGCCTATATACAGGTGAGCCACTTCAGGGCCATCATGGCCCTCTTGTTTTGTGTGTGATTCTTCCTGTATGTTTGCGCTGATGTAAATAAGTACCAAAGACTGACCTTTGTTAATCATTGATAAACATGTACACCTTGCAATCACTGGTAAGTATATGCCATCTTAGTAAATTGTGGGACTTTAATGTTTTTATGCCCCCCTTTGAAGAAGAGGGGGTATATTGTTTTGCTAATGTCGGTCTGTCTGTCGGTCCGTTTGAAGGGGGATATATTGTTTTGCTAATGTCGGTCTGTCTGTCGGTCGGTCTGTCCGTCGGTAGACCACATGGTTTCCGCTGATTATCTTGAAAAGTATTTATCACAAAGTCTTCATATTTCACATAGTGATTGGTCATAACTAGTAGATGACCCCTATTGATTTTGGGGTCACTAGGTCAAAGGTCAAGGTCACAGGGACCTTAAATATCAAAATGGTTTCCGCTGATTATCTTGAAAAGTATGTATCACAAAGTCTTCATAATTCACACAGTGATTGGTCATAACTAGTAGATGACCCCTATTGATTTTGGGGTCACTAGGTCAAAGGTCAAGGTCACAGGGACCTTAAATGTCCAAATCGTTTCCGCTGATTATCTTGAAAAGTATTGAAAAGTATTTATCACAAACAACCGCCTCCGTGGTCGAGGGGTTAGAGTCGATGACTTCTAATCCAGTTACGTCTCTGGTGTGGGTTCGATCCCCGGAGATGCTTTGGTAGTTTAGCGCGGAGGAAGGTAGTCTAGTACTGGTGTAACTCTCCAGGAACGATGGTTAGGAAACTACCCGCCTATATGACTGAAATACTGTTGAAAAAGGCGTAAAATGAATTAAACAAACAAACAAACAAATTTATCACAAAGTCTTAATATTTCACACAGTGATTGGTCATCACTAGTAGATGACCCCTATTGATTTTGGGGTCACTAGGTCAAAGGTCAAGGTCACATGGGCCTTAAATGTCAAAATGGTTTCGGCTGATTATATTGAAAAGTATGTATCACAAAGTCTTCATATTTCACATAGTGTTTGGTCATCAC